TTTACCCCCAGGGACAGAGACCCTGGTACTCATTGGATAGACGGTTGAGTGGACCTCAGAGCCGGTCTGGACGACGTGGAGAAGAGAATATTTTTGACCCTACTGGGATTTGAGGGGGCATGCGGTAGCATAGTTGGTTGAGGTACTATGCTACAAGCCGGAAGGTCAAGGTCAAGTCAAGGAAGGTCAAGTCCCGATGAGGTCATTGGATGTTTTTCATTCAACCTAGTCCTTTCAGCCGCACAATGGCCCTGGGGTCAACTCAGCCTCTAACAGAAATGAGTACCAGGAATTAATTAAATAATTTTCCTGGGGAGTAAAGCGCAGCCGGCGCGAAAGACTGACAACCTTACCGCCATCTTTGAGCTGATTGTCTAGATAATGTGGGACCCTCAACGTCTCAGAACCCTGTGGACCTTCACAGCCTGTTACAGGGATAGCTTTACGTTTTTTTTTTACCGGGACTTGAACTATGACCTATCAGTCATCTACCCTGTAGCCACCTTTTGTTTTGTTTTGTAGGTGCTGCAGTTTTGAAAGGTAGGTGTCTGGCGCTAATTTCCAGGCGGGGCAAGCATAAGTCGTTACTGATCTGATCAGTGCCTTATGGAGAGTCTGACGAATTTCCAGACTCATCTTGATTTTAACATCTGAACACGGACTGCATAGAAAACACCGCTCGTAGTTGTACTCCAGTCATTTCCATGGGAACTTGTTTGTTTGTGAAGGCGTTACCCAGTAATGTCTGCATATATGTCCTCATTACGAATCTGTTGCCTTGAAGTGAATGTTGTTTCATTGTTTGTTTCGAGGTCGTTACCCAGTAACAGGTCTACACACTACAGTATGTTCCTCTTCACTATCATTTTCAGCTTGCCTGTAATCGTGTTACCTGCTACAGAAATTGAATCATTATAACTAAGAGGAGAAAGATCTTCACATTGTTCTAGAGTACTTCCTTCTTCATACTCCAACCATCATAGGGTACTGTGTTTGGGATTCCCAGAATATCCTTCATGATATTAGTACCCAGGTATATTCTGCCAGACTTGTTGTGTAAATCGAGGGTGAATAATTCTCCTGCTATGAAAGATGCTGGTCAACTGAAATGATAATGGGATCTATATTGTGAAGCAGGAAACAATTTCATTAATTCTCACAGGTATGCTTTGACTTATTAATGGAATACAGTCTGTTTGATGTACCACTGGAGTCTCAAAACTAGACCTGGGTACCTAAGTTAATTGGAAGCCACCTCAGATGTAGAATTTTAATTTCCTGCAGAGAGTAATAGCAGTGCAACAGATGAACAGGCTTAGTGAGGTGGGACTGCTACTAGCAACATTTAATATAGGAGCCTGAAGTGATGTTCAGTAATAAATCTTGGAAAAATATGCAGGTTTTATTAGGGCCTTCCCCCTCTCTTAAATGTAAGCTAGCAACATGGCCACCATGCAGAAGTTTTTGTTTAGCTTTTCATTTAATAGCAATAATCAAGGGATGATTTTAGCCAGACTACAGGAATTTCACCAAATACTATGTATATATGAAATACTGTATACAAATCATCAACTACAAGCATGGCAACAGTGTGAACCATTGAGGTTGTAGTACGAGTAGGTAATGAAATAACTCTTACTTGAGTAGGATGAGCCTGCTGTCATTTGCACATGAATTCAGCATGCTAACGCATGAGCTAAATTGCATTTTATTGTTGGATTATAAAATTACATTACCTAAATACATGTAACATCACACAATTGTGAGATGGGGAGTCTGTGGTAAGAAAGTGGGTTTTCTGACTTTCGTGGAGAACTCCTTTTTGTTATTATCATTCCTTTGTACAAGCCAAGATAGTGACTAGGCAATGTGCTGGATCACTGAGGAAGTAGGGCTCGATTGCTTGCAGGAGCAAGAGATTTTCTCTTTCCACAACATCCAGATTTGTTGTGGGCCCATCCAATGGGTATTGGGGACTGTTTGCACAGGGGTAAAGCAAGCCAGGCAAATCACCATCCTAACATTTTCAGAAACTATTTCTGTACTGTACTATATCTCAGTTGGTATTGTTGTTTTATGTTGGCTAATTACACTTAATGCCTCTAGGTCCTCGGACTCAAATGCACCCCATTTGTGTGATATTCAGAACTTGTCTGTTATGGGGCAAGCCATATAAAGAAATTTGTATTTCCATAATAAAATGGCTTTTATTTTAAATTTCAAATAAAATTGTAATTTGCTGTCTATAGCTACTTGAACACAGGAGTAAGTGATATTAAAACAAAACTGAAAATACAAGACATCATAATGTAGTGCAAACTGTACTTTTTCTTTTCCAATTCCTTCACAACAATTTCTTCAAGAATTTTGTATATGGCTGCATGGGGTTATACGATGGGGTACCCAAAAGAAACCGAACTATTTTTTTTTTGTGGGCAGAGCTTTTGTAGTACCGCGTTTTGCCGCTATGAGCGCATAGAGCTAACATTCCTGAGTCGATAATCCGACTACCGTTGCATCAGAAGGTAAGGACTAGTTTCGGCATAGTGACAACTGTTTTGTGTGATCATCGTTTTTGCAATGGCTGATGTTCGTGAACAGCGTGTGGCGGTGAAATTCTGCTTTTTGCTCGGGGAAAGTGGAACAGAAACACTTGAAATGTTAAAAACGGCGTACAAGGACGATGCTATGGGGGAAAACTCAAGTGTTTGAGTGGTTTTCCCGTTTCAAAAATGGTGAAATGTCAATTGATGACAAACCTCGTTCTGGTCGTCCTTCCACGGTCCAAACACATGAAAATGTTGAAAAAATTCATGAAATCATCAAGGAAGATCGACGACGGACCATTGAAGAAATTATGGAGCTGTCGGGAGTGACTTGGAGCTCAGTTCAGCGAATTTTGACAGAAGATTTGGGAATGAAAAGGGTGGCTGCGAAATTTGTGCCATGACTGCTGACTGCTGAACAAAAACAAGGTCGCGTGAAAGCATGCTGTGCTTTGAAAGAAGTGTCCTGAAATGACCAAAACTTTTTTTTGTTTCCTCGAATGAAAAGAGACATGAAAGGAGAGCGTTTTGCTGATGTTGCTGAGGTGAAGGAAAAAACGATGGAGGTGCTGTCAAGCATTCAAAAGATGAATTTAGACAATGTTTTGAAAAATGGAATGAAAGACTAGACAAGTGTATTAGTGTAAGTGGAGAGTACTTTGAAGGGGATTGAAGGTTTGTGCTTAAAATTTGAATAAATAAGTTTAAAAAAATAAGTTCGGTTTCTTTTGGGTACCCCCTCATGTATGCCCATGCAATGAAATCTGCACTGAGTTTCAGAAACTATTTTTGCTGTTCGTGCTGTTTACTGTTCTCAGCATCTCAAGGTTCTTGGAGTCCACCTGTCATTTTTATGACGTAAAATCACAGATTCTTGTGGAGCAGGCCATGAAAAGAAATTTGTATTCCTGCACTAAAATCATGCAGCTGTGTATGGAATTTCACATACAATTGTAGTACATTATCTGTGAATACTTCAACACACAACTAAGTTGTAGAACAAATAAAAGTGAAAACACATCATAATTTAGTGTAAACACATTTCATTACCATGGCTACTGTAAAGCATGCTGTAGCGTGTAGTCCTCTTACTGGGTAACAACCTCGAAACAACATCCGCTGCTAGGCAACAGATTCTTAATAAGCAAGTATACGCAACCTGATTAATGCCTTTGCAAATAGACTTGTTCCCACAGAAACTATTGGAGTACAACAATGAACTTTTCTGTGCAGTCCATGCCAAGGGGTTATCAGTGGGACAGGTTTAGAGTTTAGAGAGTTGTAAGGGAGTCTGAGAAGATAGACTTAGTGCAGTTGAAGAATCCCCACTGTTAGAAGCCATTACCAGGGAATGACTGATGAAGACGCAGCAGACTGACAGGACTTGGCGTTTGTTGTAGTGATTTGTAAAGTGTGGATATTTGCGATAGTGTCATAGTTGCTTGTAGTTAACAATCTGTAAGTGGTCAATAAATCTAATCTCCAATCCGAAACCTGTTCCATAGGCACTCATGCATGTGACAATATTGTCACAGTGCTTTTCTTGTGAAGGAAAGAATGGGGAAGGAAACTGACTGGAACTCAAACCTTCTGTGCATGGGACAACAAAATGAACAATTTTCTGGGGTTATTTCTCCAAGGAGAGCAGTTTTTTAATTTGCTTCCCCTCTCAACACACCATTTGGGAGAAACAGTAGGACACATGTGGCTACTACGTAGGTGAGTCAAATGAGAACCGTAAAACTGAGATAAAAATTCGAAATATCACTCCATTGTCCTACCACCAACCAGAAACAAAGAGAATGAGCAAGTAATGACATCATTGCTCATCACCAAAACCCAAGAAGTTCTGGACGCAGCCGTCTGCAAGGAAGATTATGCTGACTCTCTTTTGGGATGAATGAGGTGTACTCTTGGAGCACTACATGCCTTGGGGGAACACTGTCATCAGTACCTCATATTCAGATCTCTTGAAGAATCGTCTTTGACCTGCAGTCAGATCAAAATGACGTGGACTTTTGACTAGAGGTGTCCTTTTGCAACATGACAATGCTCAGTCCCATACTGCTCGTGCATCAGTAGCAACAATCCAAGACTTGCACTTCGAGTGTCCTCCACACCAGCCATACTCACCAGACCTAGCCCCAAGTGATTACCGCATGTTTGGGCCACTCAGAGAGGCGATGGGAGGAAAGAAGTTCCATTCTGATGAAGAAATACAGCAGGAGGTGCATGAGTGGTTGTGCAGGCAACCACAAGATTTTTTTTCTAGAGGAATCCATACACTTTGTAAACACTGGAGGGCCTGTATTGAACGAAATGGAGACTGTGTAGAAAAATGATATAGTTGTGTACCACTTTCATTCAATGAATTAAATTTTAAAAAATTTTTACAGTCTTCATTTGACTCACCCTCGTATATATATGGATCATGGCAAAAGTATTATTTTACAGGTAGCATACCTTCTTTGGGTGCTGGCCTTCTGTTTGGAAGCATACTGTGTTATGGAGCTTACCAAACATCTCAAAATCCTAACAACTACTTGTTGCTGTTGGGAACCAGTGCTGTACTAGGAGGCCTCATGGGTTACAGATTTTACAACTCCAGGAAATTTATGCCTGCTGGACTAGTGACAATCTTAAGGTAAGACATAAAGCCAGGTATTCACTTTGTAGACACCCATTAACATTCTTGCTATGTGATAAATCCTAGTCTCATTCTCTTTATGCAATATGGCAGCTTCTCACACTGGAAGCTCACTTTCCCATTGATCTGGACAGAGCTGTATCTCCTTCCCCCTTCCATGGTTCTGACAGACCACTGACCAAGTCACATTGACATTAGAGTGACGGGGCAGTTTCTCACAATTTCATTGCATCAGTCATGTTTTAACCTAGTTGCATCTTTGTCTAGTCCAGTGTTTGAGTCAGGAGATCTTTACTGTTCACATATCTGACATAGCATGCGTAATATGGAAAACTTGGATCATTTTATAATTTAATGAATACTGCACAGTTTCTTGTATGTATCCTCTTAGTATGAGTCTGGATATTGTATGCAAGTGATTATTCTTAAAATTGTAAAGTTCTGACGACTTCTATATGAACTTAGGTGTTTTGCACTTATATCTCTTGCCTACACTGATTGAGCTCTTGCCTTTCCTGCAGCTTTCATGTATGATGCCAAAATTATGGACATTCGTGACACAGTGAATTATCAGTTTCTTAGGGGATTCACAAGGGTTGCAATACAGTTCATTGATAACTTGCAGATATTACAGGCACACTGCAATCAGAATACACCAAGATTAATATATTTATGCTGTTTCATTTGCTTATACATGCTACAGGCATCTTTATGCCTGTAAGATGTTAGCAAGAAAAATTCCAAATTTGCTGAACACTTCACTGTATTGGATTTGAAGTTCTCACAGCAGTGACTATAAAGAATACTACTTTCTGAGAAGTAAGGCTGTGTATCAAGATAGAAGTTCACCAATCATCAGAGAAATGTAAAATATCTGACAGATTACACAGCAACACAATGCAGTCACATTTTGATAGAGAATTCTGAATTTAGTATGAAGAATATGAACTTTTATTTTGTAGCTTAGTATAAAACTTGTTTCTTTTTCTTCCAGTGTTGGAATGGTTTTGAGAATTGCAGCAAAAAATGCTGGCCTACTTCAGACAAAGCCTGTTGAATAGTTCTTGTTTTTTCATTCATCTGACCATGCACTTATGCAAGGTGGCGTTGTATTTAATAAAGTAAAATATCTATACCATATATCATGATAATTTTTGTACTTGCTTTGTTTTGAAATAAAATGGTTAAGGCATATCTTATGTGTTTTGAAAGTTATTATCCTCAATATCAACTCTTTTGCTGCCCTACTAATAAAATTGTGGTTTAAATTGAAATATTTTTTTAGCATTCTTTTCTATCACTTCTGAATAAGGACTTTGTGCATATGTGATTTTCTTTTATGGATGTTACTTTTTGAAACCTGTTTTAGGTTTTGTCCATTTTTCAGGTCAGCATAATGCCATGCTGGAAGGCATGAATTTTCTTGTTCTTAAAAACTTCAGATAATTGCCAGTATCTTTGAACACTACTTTAAGCTGTCATCAACCTTCGTTTTAATACCCATCACAATGGAACATTTAAACATATAACTGTAGAAGTGTACAGTGTATAATATCATTCTCCAGATTATATAATACTGTTGGTAAAGGCCCAGTGAAATTTGATTGGGAATCATGTCTTTCATATCTAATTTCCTTTATTTCTTTCTTGCCCCTATCTCCATCCATCCTTTCTCCTATATTCCTGTCCTAGCTCTTTCATTTATTTTATAATCATTCATTTCTGTCTTCCATTCACAAAACTCTGATCTGTATTATATTAAAACAGTGTCACATCTCTTATCAGTTTTAGGTTTTCGCAGTTGTTGAAATTTTCATCTTCCAGGTTGTGACACTATTGTATACTGGTTTATACTGTTTGAATTACTGACAGCAGCATTAAATGAACTGCAAATAAGAATCAAGCACCATGAATGGCTGTGGGCCAGACAATGGAAGGTTTAATTCCTGGCAGAGGTACGGGCAGGGATGTTTCAGTTCACCATATCCAGACTATCTCTGAACCATACACAGTCCCTTGTCCCTTGTGCATCAGAAGCTCTTGTGCTCAGCACTCTGCAAATGCTGCCAAGGTTGTGAGGAATGCAGCATTGCCTCTGCATTCACCATATCCCTTCATGGTATGCCACTTGGGTAGGGGGACAGGTTTCCCTTTCCTAACTGTGCAAGAAAACTTGTGTGCACTCTATGCTTTGAGAGTGTAATTTATCGAGGAAGATAACTCAAGCAGTAATGCTTCTGACTTCAGGAGGTAGTGAGTCTGAATCTCAGCCAAGACATTGACTATCATGACTGCGGTATTTCATAAGTATTTCTCAGACCTGCCAGGCAAGTGCTGTGATAAATTAGGCTACCCTTACTTTCATATCCTTTCAAACTCATGAAGTAGCCTGCCATTTGTTACTATATAAGCTGAGCTACTGACAGTGTTGTTAAATACAGTATTAGTGTAATTTAAATAATACAGGTAGGCCCATGAAAGGAAATGATTATTGTTAAAGCCAGGACAGTTATGAAATATACAATTGACATATGCTGAAGATATAATAAAATAGTGTTCATGCTAAACCTCATTAATGCATAATAAGTCTGTATATGAAATGTTTTCATTATAAGTATTCACATATCTCCAAATTCTCCTTGAAGTCTAGGGAGCCATGAAGTAGGTTTCCAAGTTCAGATTTCTATAACTATCCTGTCTTCACTCATAGCATTGCAGTTGTTACACACATTTCAAAGTATTTCTTTATATTTAATGAGAACAGATTGATTAAACCTGCAACATGCATAATAAGATGACAGTATGGTGCATTAAAAGATCACTTACATTGAAATTTCACTATGAAAAGTTTATAGGAACTTAAAAAAGAAAAAAATAATTAGATCTGAAAAATGTCAAGTATGTTCTTTGCTACTTGAAATGTACAAGTTAAATTGTAGATTCACTTACAGGGAATATAAAGCAAGAGGAATCTTTACAGTAGGTTGAAATAACCTGATTTATTTATGCACAGGTAGCAGAAGAGGAGCAATTCAATTTACTTAAAAGTTTTATCTCTAGAGCATTCCAGACATTCTTGATTAACACTCCAATGTTTTGAATTTTTTAAATGTCCGTAATTGTTTTGCTTTCTAGCTCAATCTATTAATAGAAACCCAAGCTAACAATAAGATCCATAAATACCTTACAACAATATTTTAAACATGAATATTTACACACACATATACACACATTCATGTACGCATACAAAATACATAGCATTACAGAAATAACTTTTAATTTAAAGCAATTAAAGTATTTAATTACCTTAATCATTATAATTTAAGCTCCTTCAGCTTGGAGCAGGAAAAACGGCTCTTTGATGATGATCAACATGTTTTACTGTCATACATACTGTATAACTCCATAATTTTGATCACCAGCATATAATCTAAATTTGTTTTCATTCCCCATTTCTCTTCACATTGCTCATGGGGTTTCAGGTATAAGAACATGGTTTGTAATATGCTGCTGTTTGAACTATAATTCCAGACTGGTTAATTTAATGTGGAATGTGTTCAGAGTACATCTACCAATACACATTTTCTGCAGTTGTTTGATTTTATGAAATTGCACATAATTGGAACAGTTATTGGTCAGTAGGATGAAGCAACCAATGCACACAGTCTATTCTTTTGTGCATGCATAATAAACCCTCAGCATTAATTGCCATTTCACCTGTTTCTATCATCTCTGTTAATCTTAGAAGGAATACTTTTATATGCCTTGTACCAAAATTAGGTTTCCATGTTGAGTGGTCGTTGCCACATTTTGCCACATCTGCAGCTCATTTCACTTAAATTTCATTTTGTGTCGAAATGATTAAAATTTATAAGAAAAGGAATGACAAATCATTTCAAAGAGATATTTCTACTGCCTACATGGATTTTGTTATCTTACTGTCAAGATAATTTGATGGTAAATAGACTGTAATTGTCACATGTTGTAATAGTCATTTCTATTCGTATAGTTGCAACTCAGTTCCCTTACACTTTACACTTCACTTTCCTCCTACTCATAAGAAAATCAAATTCAGAGAATTGTATGATTTTTTCTTCACTTTAGATTAGTATATGAGTGTCACAACTTCCAGAATACTTACCACTTTTACAACTACTGATATGACACTTATTTTCCACAGATTAATATTTATCTACACTGGCACAAGGACATATGTTATGTTGCTTATGAGAAGCAACATTGATGTGCCATGTAGTACCAATACTAGTAGTGTAACGGTGTTGTAACATGGCAGTAATATTCTTTCTTCATCTCTGAAATGTTTCTTGTGATGTTAATGGGTAATGTGAATATCACAGAACATGTTTAACTTCTATTGTTTATCAGTTGCCTCATATTGGTGCAATAACCTGATACTGATTTCTTCTATCACAGTTGCATATTGAATACTACATTAAGTTTAATGCAATATGTGAAAGCTTCTTGAATAAATTCAGTAACAATTATTTTAGGAAAGCCACTGCTGGCAGTTATCTCATTCATTGAGATCAGGTTAGTCTACCAGCTTCATACATATATCACCTTCAAGGGAATATTCTTCCCCAAAATATCTGCCTTTTTATTAATATCCTCCCCACTTCCAAACGGCTTACACCATTACTATTTGACAAGCTATCGTGCACATATGATATGTTCACACACATTCTATTCTTAAATCCAGGAACCATTTATTTATGAAGGTTTTTTGGTTCCTGACAAAATTGCTGTGAATAACGTATTTCTGAGTGTCTTTCCATAAACATTTTAATCATGAAACGTATATTTGTGTTCTGAACAAGACTTCATGTGTCAAGGACACTTTACAGGATAATGATTTGGCATCATTTTATCACATTTGTGTTTCATCAGAAATTCTTAGCAGGTTTGTATTGTCTTATATTCATAAATATGTTTAATATTTGTTGATAGCTCTCAACATGAAAAATTATTTTTAGGGATCCACTTAAAGAAGAATATTATAATTATTCCATCATCAGGTAGATACCTAACAACACAATTTGTATCCTTTGAGATAAAAATTACAGCTAAAATTCAGGCACATATGCAGAATCTATCTGTATCTTACTGAGTCACTTCACATTTGATTGTCATCCAGAATATCATGGATCTGGTGGATTCAAGACTCTGCAGTTTAGGACATATGACCGATTATGGTGACAACCAAAGGAATCCATTGATAAGAAAAAGACGATGTTCATTTTTGCTTGGCAGCAGGCACACATACAGCTCTCTGCGATGCACAACAGTTGCGCTGCATGTACTTGTATGCACAGTACTGGAAGCCATAGTGAGTGAGGAACTCATGACAGGTCATGCTTCCACTAATGTTGGCTACTCTGTCCATACATTCATCAGTGTCTGCCGCTGGAAAATAGCACCATGAAACATCATGAAGGAAGGAGTGGTTGCAGTGCTTCTGTATTTCTAAGGAAGGTATTGGGGTAATGTACTCATATCAGAATCATGTACAGATGATCAAAGAGTAAATATTTTGATAGAATCCTGATGTACTTTCATTAGACACTGAAGTTTTGGCTTATCTTAAAAAATCATGTTGTATGCAGCATTCTTGAATTATGAAATTATATTTTCATGGAATACCACACTGAAGTGGTCAGTGCTCATTTTTTATATGAAAGAGGTGCTGTGTATGCAGCTTAGCCCAGAGACATATGTTTTCTGATTTACGCTGGGTCTTCCTATCAAATGAAGGGATATTACCCATGACTGCTTTTCTCCTCAGTCTTCCAAATTCGTTATTTTCATAATGAATTTTTGGTATATAAAAAGGCTTTTCACAAACGGTCATGCTATATCCATATCTTATTGCCATATTTGCTTTTGGCAAGGTGAAATTGATTTCTGTCCTATATTCAAATCCTCCTGCATATACATGAATTTAAACAATAATTTCCAGCCTTTAAAAAATGTTACAGAAATCCCCTTTGCACTGTGCCATTGGTAATCGAACTGTTAGGAAGTAAGTTTTGCTGAGGAATTTTACTCACCAGTTGCAAGTTTGAATATAATTAGGTACATCATAATTGGAGAGGTTGAAAATATGTCTTCAGACAAGGGTGTAATGTAACCAGTAAGACAGAATCACTCTTCATCATTAAGAAATATTATTTCCAGATTATGACTGTCAATGTGAACTGGTTCTAAGAATTTGTAGATTTTTATGTTCTTTTTTACCATGGATTTTATATTACCAGTTCTCAGACAACAGTTGTTTATATGCCCTATAATTATTGCTTTTATCATTCTCCATAATATTACTCTTGAAATATATCTTCACTGGATCAACAGAAACACTGCTCTAGGAAATTTTATGATTGAACGACGGTATTATTGAATTTTTCTTGGATAAAACTGATTTTTTGTACACTATCCTGCATTGCTTTATGCAATAACTTATAAATCAGAAAGAAAAGGTATGCCATACATATGTCCTTCCTACAGTTGGCATAATTTTTGCCAGGCAGCAAAAATAACAAGAAAATAAATCAGTTCTATTTAAGCAGTTGTTTACTGCAGACCACAGATGATCATTCTCGTTCAACTATAATGAAATGTTAACTTAATCATTATTGATACAAATAGTTTGCCAGGTTCTGAACACTTGGTTGATAATGTTCTAAATGTTATTATTCTTATCTGTCTTGATACAATTATTGACTGTTGGACATTATTCATTGTTTTTAAATAACAACAGGATGGTGGATAATGTCAGAAATGTTAGTAATTGTATTAATAATATACCATCACAAAATTTTATATCTAACCAGTCTTACTCCACACCAAAAATTAATTCTTTCATGTCTTCATGCTTTGCATATTAATTTAGGACAGTGGTGAAAATTTATAAAACAAAAAAATAATACAATTCTTCATTTTCCATCCAGCTGCATGTAGGAACATAAGATATTTAACTGAAATTTTAATTTATAATAAATAATGGCAAGAAGGACATTTTTATAGTCTTGATATAATTATGTAATCTCTAATATTATATTTTGTTGCCTGAAAACTAGATCAAAATTAATACTTCTGTAACATTCATAGATTTTTAAACAAAGTGATCTCTTTCTCTTACTGTTTACTTACTTTCTGTTGTGTAAAGAAATTTATTTGGACAAAAAAGTAACTATTTTTTGTGATAATTTAAATAAATTACTACTTGGCTCTTAACCATAATTAAACTTGATTCTGAAGTGTCTTATCAAAATATTTGTATACTTACTTGTCATTGTAATTGAAATGCATGATTATTTTGAGAACATTCCCATAAACCACAAATACCATAAGCATGCAGCTGTTTACAGAAGCCCTCAACTAGTAAGATTAATACACTATTGTCCTTTTTAGGTATGAATGTTAATATAGGTGGTCTTATCTCTAAATAACCACATTAGTTCTGTAAAATATGGTATTAGCTTCTAGTGAGTGTGGTCATCTTCAGAGTACTCACTTTCAGGCTTATACACACGCTCCTGCAGCTCTGTCATGCCTAGAAATTATTTTTCAGAAGTTCTTTCAAAACTGGCCTCACATTTCTCTGAATTTTATCAAGTTGTTCAAAATGGGGCCATTTGAAGATGATTTTTAGTTTCTGGGACATAAAAATTTGTCAAAGGAGAGCCAGATCAGGAGCACACAAGTCAACACTGTATTTATGCCTTAATTCTAGGCAGTAAAATTAGATGTCAAACCCTTCTTGTTGCGGTTCTCTCTCACACCCTACATGTTTTGACTACAAAGTTGTCACCAGCAGCTGCAAAATACAAACGTACATGACCTACCAAGAGGATTGCTGAGATTTGAAACGCCCGAGAATTGAAGAATGAAAGCAAATACAATGATGATTATACTTGCAGTGTAATTCCAAACTCAAACAGTTTAACTGATACAAGTTGAATTCGCATCCCAGCTATAGTTTACAGACAGCAGCATGATGACTATAGTGTCTACCATGCGGCAGAAAGCACACACCATGTGGCGCCCAAAATTTGAATTCATTGTGTTCAGTTTGAATTTAGACATGAGTATGATGTGAGATCACCTGATGACAAAAACACGGAGATAGTACAAGCAATTTAAACAGACTTGCAGTGTGGAAAGAAGACATTCTACTGGGCAGCTTAGGAGATTTGATGAAGATGTGGATCATATTAGACAGGCTTTCACATGGAGTCCAAAGAAGTCAATTTCCCAAACAACTACAGAGTTACAGATGCCACATCTGACTGCCCACAAATTCTTTAGAAAAGCCTGCATCTAAAGCCGTAAAAATTACAGGCAATCCAGAAACTTAAGAGCATGTGATAAACAGCTTACTTCACAATTTATGGCACATGATCACACAAATTTTGAAGCACAATAATGAGGCAAAGTTTCACATCACTGGACATATCAATCAGCTTAACTGTGTCATCTGTGGCAGTGAGCCTCTCAGAGAACATTTAGAACATGAACAGGATAGTCTTAAAGTGAATGTGTCATGTACACTGACATATGAAAGAGTCACTTGCCTGTTTCTCTTTGATGATGACATCATTACAAGCAATTCATTCCTATACATATTGGAGAATTATGCTCTTCTGCAGCTCAATAACAGAAACAACAACAACAACAGTAATCTCATCCATGATGTGCATGTATTGACCGTCTTCCAGTACACACAGTCTCATTTGTCACTTCACTACATGTTTTGGCATCACTGTGCCATCCTCAGGTGCGTTATTTATGTTAAACTATTGCACTGCTCGCCATCATGTGTCGTTTATAAAATGATTTAAAATGTATACTCGTCATGTACTATAATAAAATTTATATATTAAAATTTGTTAAGATTTATCATCTTATGTGTCGTATTTCAAACTCGCGTATTATATCAATCTTCCGCTATGGGAGTCGTCCTTCCTATATTTTGTGTATACTGTGTCTTGTGATGTGTCCTTCTTTTGTGTCGGCGTGTGTTGTAACATGTAGTGAAGTGACAAGTGAGATTGTATGCACTGGAAGACGGTCAATACATGCACATCATGGACACGAATCAGTGCAACAGGACGCTAAAATACAACATTAACAGTAATCTCATTTTTCAACTAGACAGTGCACCTGTTCATTATGCTCACATTGCCCATGACTGTTTGAATGTGAATGTCCCAGGTAGATCGAGAGGAAGAGAAAGACCAATTACTTGGCCCACTCATTCTCCTGATCTTACACCTTCAGAATTTTTTCTTTTGGGCTGTGTGGAAGACAGGTATGCAGTGAAAGAGTAAATACACTTGTGCTGGATGATATCAAAGCACAGATCACTGCAGGAATTGAAAATGTTACAAAGGACATGTTACAGCATATCTGGCAAGAGGCGCACTGTAGGTGGGATATACTCAGAGCTACAGATGGCGCTCACTGTGAAGTGGTTTTTTCCTAACAACTTCTACGCTTTTGTATATAGAAAACCGTTTCACTTGATTAATAAAATGCTGCAAACAGTACCCTCATATCTATTTTCATTCCCTAGCCACAGGTGCCAGAAATCATAGCAATCTTTTTAGCAAACTCTGTATTAAAAAATAAATTTGTAATTTCAGGTAATTAAAGTGGCTTTTCTGAAAACTTTATTTTACTTTATTTTATTTGGACTGAACCTCTAATCATAGTGTACACTAGCATGCAGTTTTCTTGTGCATCTCATAATCACTGTCTCACTCAACAAACAGGCAGTAATATGGCCAGAAATGAAAATGAACAGTTATATATGTTAGTATTTCTTATGGTTGTGTGAGCTGAAACCTGTAAGCTTATACCAGAATCTACCCAAAATGCATGCAAACATGCAGTGAGGAAGATGGAGGGGAAGTACTGGATATCTGACCCATGTCTTCTTGTGTGATGATGGTGCTGAAAATGTTCCAGGCTATGAGATGAAAAACTTAATGAATCCATATACCATGTTAAAAAATGAAAGTTCGAGCCTCCTATATACTTGATACTGACAGTACTGTGACAGATTTTGGAGAACAGATAGATAAAAATCAGTCAAGATTTACACATGACATTATGTGGCATTGATAATTTACACTGTTAAGTAAGGATGTCACCAGCAAGAATGTACATTTGTTTTGGAGATAGAGGTTTTAATGTAAAGCTGTTAATTTGAATTTTAATCATCAAATGACACATGAAGAAATGCCATGTATCATTTATTCATTCATTTCAGTAATTAGAGAAGTTCGATTATGTTTTGGTCATTTTAAAATATACAATTTATGCAGTAAGTGAAGATTTAAAATACCATATATAATTTAAAGGAATAAGCAAATATTTTAAGAAACACAGGATGTTTGCTTTTATGTAAAATTATATGAAGCAGTTTTTTGGGGCGGGGTTAGAGAAGTATGTAGTTTCAGCAGCTTCTTCTTCAGCGAACATTACTTACCATTATAAACTGAAGCTTCTACATTCGTGTTGTTGATAATAGATGGTGAGTTTTGTGTAGCTGAGGAAATATAATGGGGTTGGATTTTCTTGGCGGTGGTTGTTGATGGGGTTGTAAATACATTATAATTATTATATGATAATTTATAAACAGAATTAGATGTATATTCAGATTTAGCAGTTGAAAAATAACTGAGTCCTGCATATGGACTTCTTGTTGTGCTGCTTGAGTGATACTGGTTGAAGTAATTATAGGAAAATTTGGTTGACCCAGAAGTCTGACTGTTAGTGTTCTTAGTGCTTGTGTAGTGATTCAGGTTACCAAAATCATAAGGATTTTTTGTTGATGTGTATTTATTGTTACTGAAGTCATATGGATTTCTTGTTGTGGAATAAGAGGCATGTATGTTGAAGACAAATGGTGTTTTTGCTGTTGAGAATTGATTGACATTGAATGAATAAGGGGTTTTAGTTGTACTTGTTGATTGTGTATAATACTGGTTAAAGGCATAGGGGTTTCTTGTTGTGCTGATTGTGCTGCTGTAATATGAATCACCTTTATTATTGTTATTGTGATAATTATTTATATATTTATTAGGAATTGGTGAGGGAATAGGTGTAGTTGTGCTTCCTTTACTCCAGGATTCATCCAATGGTGACCTGTGCATGAGCGATTCATCACACATTATTCCATACAACACAGTCTTTCCTATTAAATAATATGTACAGTCAGAGGTATTTTGTATTGAATGGCACAAGTGATAGCATATCTAGAATTTCATTTTGAGTTGTTTTTAAAAAATGTAAGATAAGGAGATCTTGTATATCCCCAGCAAATATCAACTTAAATTAAAGTACTGTCACTAGACAAGGTCCAGTGATCAAGACCAGCTCATTCTAATGGGTCTAAATGAATAAGAATGACCAAAATAACTGTCACATTAATTCTACTGTATCATGTATGGTATTATAGAATTTCATGAAGTGGTCTTGTGAAAGATACTTTTAAGACTAAATTTGTAAAATTCATATGCTCTTTTTGTGTGTGTTCTTAATAAGTTTTGAGTTTACAGTTTATGCTGCAAGTTCATTGTTTCTCATGCAGCCTAATGGAAGGATTCACTGTCTTTCTTGTACCATTCAAGAACCTCAGTTCGCCACAGCATTTACACATTCAAGCAACATGCAGCACAATAAGCTGTTCTTCATATGAGATACATGTACACACACATACAATAAAACTGAATATGTACACTGTGAAATGAACTTTTCTAAAAATTAGCAGTATTTTGTTGTACTGAAATTGCTTAAAATGCTTTCTATTTTCAATCAATTTCCTGATGGCCTTCACCTCCAACTACACTAAAAACACAGACTTCAAACTTCAACACTTTCACATACCAGGTGCAAAGGTGCCCATAAACTACATTACCAGAAATAATTTTGTGGAATTTGAGGTTCTCATGGAGGTGAGTATTGAAATTGCATATAATCTTCTGGAGTATGATGCTGTGTAATTTGTTACACAGGTTCAAAACATTGGTATCCATGTGCCAGATTATATGGCATCACATGCCAGAAGACTGTACTCTTGGTATCTAATTTTGTCAGAAATTGTCATCGGATTAGCGTAATTATAATATTGTTACTCCACCAGATCACACACTGCAGAATCTCTCGCTTGTTATTAGGCTCCACTCAGGATTCCCTACCCATCACCAGACTATGGACAGTTATGTACACAATGGCATGACCACTAAGTCCCATCTAGTGAAATAAATATCTAGCTGAGATTTATATTTACATGAGGTTTAAGGGAAAAATATCATGATGTGAAACTGTCTGTGTGTGACACACTGTATATATAGCAATAAACACAACATTTTGGTAGTCACAGTATATATTACTTATTCTCAGAAGCAAGGGAGAGGTGATCACTTACACCTGTGGGTCTCTCATAATGACTCTTGATTTTATAAACTAAGTGAATGTTGGCTATGTTCAAGCACCACAGCATGAAAATATACAGGGGAGTGGAGGTAGAGCTCAACACATCTTATCTTCAGCACAGGATGGAGGTGAGTGCTCAGCTTCATTTTCCAGCCTCTCTGCCCCCTAGGGAAACAGCCATTGGTATCCATTGGCTAAGAGGCTGAATGAATCCAAGATTTGGTAAGAAAATGGTGGTGAAGAGAAATATCCCTGTCCATGCTGGTAGTCGAACCCCGATCCTCCAGTCTCTTTGCTACTGAGCTAGCATCTTACATTAGTTGCTGTACAAATTCTCAGATTTGATATTGACATTTCATTCAGACATGTGACTTCTCCCAGCCTTCACACGTTATTTCTGAGACTGAGGTCACTGATTCTAGAGAAGTACTGATAAAAAGTATCAATGCTACTTTTATGATTAATAGAAATCTATATAATTCATAATTCGATAATATGGGACATAGTGGCCTTTCCAGTTTATGTTATTCGGTTACAATTTACCTCTGTGAAGTGCCATTAGGAGGCTGTGCATAGACAGGTCGTGTCTGTGTGGCAGCAGAATCAGCATCGTTGCGCCTCAGGTATGAAGGAGTATTCTGTGAGTAATCTGGTATAATGTTCTCATGTTCTGCCACACAGCGTCCATTCAGGCAGTACTACATAAATTAGCATATACATAAAATTAAGTAAAACGACATTTGTGAAAATTAAGGTGCGTCAGTAATCTTTATCTTTCAAGCATATTCTTATTGATAACTGTCACAGTGAGAAACTAATTTAATGAGCTGCTGATTGTTGACAATTACACTCTGACCACTTCATTTTAAGAGAAAGATTTAGTGACTCATTAGGAGTTATGTTAAATGGTTAGAATAATATTTCTATCCATCAGTCCATTTTCCACAAAGGAATCTAACCTGTAAGGCTATTATATACTACCCATTGTTACAGCTACTGTCATCATTCTGATTTTGTGCCACAGTCTCTATTACTCTTCCTCTAAATTCTGTTATAAGTGTGATATCTTAGAAGACATCTAATGTTCTACTCCCACATAAATCCCACACATAACTAACTGTATGCTTCTCTGGAGCACAAGATGTCTTGCATACTAGTCACAAAATAAACTTCTGATGCAAAGTTGAGAGCCCTAATGTTAGATAATGTAAGTAACACATTTATTAGCAGGACTGATCAGAACAGATCAGAACTCTATGGAACATGTAACACAATGGGTCAATAAGAATTTAGAGAGATATCACACTCTTTACCAGATACCATGTTAATGTGACATCAGATAGTCAAGAAAAATATTTGTAGTTGAAGAGTTTTAGTAAAGTTGGTATTCACTTGATACCTTTAGTAAAATTAATAGCCTGTATTTCAATCTGTTGTCTAGTAGGCCTATCAGTCCAGTTTATGTGACTAAAAATCTAAACATGCAACAGCACCATTAAGCAGAGTTTGCAATGAATATACAGGATCCAAAAGAGTTTGTCACTGTTTAAGAACACAACCCTCTGTTCTAAAGCATTAATGGAGACTGTTGAACCAAGAACATTTGAGAGTAAAGATTTATTGTGTTATTGTCTAACACTGCCAAAAGAAAGGCTCTGTGAGAAAGCCTTCAGTCCAAGCCTAGCAGCTAACCTTTACATTAGAGTTCAAAATGAAACACATTCATATATTGTTCTGGGGCAGCAAGTAGAGGCCATTAAAAACAGTCTCCATGGATGATTGGTCAGGCAGCCCACTCATGCATCAGTCAATGGATGCACTCTTCAAGAAACCCCCTGGGCTGGTGCTGGAAATATTGCACCATCACAATCTCGACATCCTTATCACATCAAACATGCAAATTGGTTTCATCTAAACAACCCTCATATGCCATCAACAGTGATGAAATATTAAATTAATACTATGTTCATAAATTTAAATTCAGTTTGATTTTAATACATTTCAGAAGGTATTTTTAGCTGTGATATGCAAATATGTGAAAAGTAACATGTTCTAGGGAAACCCAGATGTTAATCAACAATAGGCTTTCACATATTCTGTTACTCTGGGCCTTGATCATCATCATTATCATCGCCACCATCACCACCATCATCACCATTACTGTCATCCTTTCCACTTCACCTGAGTAGGTTGTCTTGTAATTCAGCATTATTCATTCTTTCATATCCTACCGTTAGCTCTCCTGACATGTCTTTGTTCATATTTTATCTGCTCCAGCCTGTGTATATTCCCCCATTTGGGCATCCACAATGGTCATTATATCTTCACTTTCTATTCTCAAAGAAATCCTACTGTTTTACATATATAGCATATGATCTTTTCTTAGCAATACACAGAAATTTCATTTCAGTCCACATTCGATATTCTGCTTCATATGTCAGAAGAGGTGAGTAATATATTTTACATAACACCATTACCGTTCTTAAGCGTCCTGCTTTCAAATGTAAAATCTAACCTAACATCCATTATTTGTCGTCCGTCAATATTGCAACACTCTTCCATTCGCCACTCACTTTAGTTTAACATTATACACCTCGACACTACATGTTTTGGCCCCAAACGGCCATCTTCAGGTGTCTTGATATGTTACAAATATTTCTATTAAACTATGTTAAAACTGCTACACTGTCTTAGTTCGTGTTAAAATCACATGCTGTAGTCCTCTTTTTGAGGTAAAACCAGATAAAATCCTTTAAAGTTTCTATTATACCCACGTTATTTTGGTGCATATTATTTCATTTCACACAGGGTGTCATCCATTTTCATAAATGTATGTTTGTCCAGGGTGTCTCTCTTGGCAGCTTGTCCCTCACATTTGTAGCCTACTTTTCAGTTCTGACTGCCATATGCCCCTGGTTTGCGTGTTTCCTCCACAGCATGTGGTGTTGTCTTTACTGGCATATGGCAGTCAGAACTGAAAAGTAGGCTAAGAACATGAGGGGCAAGCTGCCAAGAAAAACACCCTGGACACACACATACATTTATGAAATGGACGACACCCTGTGTGAGGTGAAATAATATGCACCAAAATAGCGTGGGTATAATAGAAACTTTAAAGGATTTTATCTGGTTTTACCTCAAAAAGAGGACTACAGCGTGTGATTTTAACATGAACTAAGACAGTGTAGCAGGCTTGACACAGTTTAATAAAAATATTTGTAACATATCAAGACACCTGAAGATGGCTGTTTGGGCCGCAACATATAGTGTCGAGGTGTATAAGGTTAAACTAAATTGAGTGGCGAATGGAAGAGTGTGGCAATATTGACGGACCATAAATAATGGACGTTAAGTTGAACAAATGCAACGGGATGTTGAAATACAGACTCGCAAAATCTAACGGTCTAAAAATAAATTTTAGCAAAGAATCCTTTCTACATTTCTGCAATCTGCCGTCATCAGGAGGGAGCAATATTGCCGGTTTTCGGTCACTGCAATTTCATCTCGGATTCCTGTTATCCTTTAGAATTGTCTTAATTGTTCAAAAGAGGTCTTTGGAAAGGAAGGTACACTGACAGAGTAACAGATTTGACTAATTCTAATTTCACGAATCTTGTGTACATGTATTTCTCAGTTTGTCCTTAGTTTGTAAATTCTGAAATATTCATAATTCTAGATAGAAACATGTCTGTATGTAAGATTATTTAGCAGTCATCTTGATAATTCTGCCTGTAATTATTCATATATATATATATAAATCGTCTTAGAGATCATCAGGAAAAAGTGCTCAGTGATTTAGTTCACCATTTTACCTGTCCATCACCACAGGGAGATCCTTCTGCTGCTGGCCTATATGCCACACAGTAACCTGACCCTGCATCAAAGCAGAACAGCTGTGCACACACTCGATCATCTTTCTGTAATGAAATATATACTCCATTATAGAAACCATGTTCACAGTTCTTCATTAGGAAAGAGATGATTTTCTAGATGAGAGCCGGTATTCCATGGCTTAGTTTATGTTCAACCAAAATTCAAGTTAGCATTTTATATACATATTTTTTGCACCCTCAGTAATTGGTATTTTAGAATTAGCAACTTTTACCACTCCTTTAAGTATTTAAATGATTTGTGTTGATTACTACCTCCATTTTTCCCTTTCATCTGTTTTTGGTATTTAAATAATATGACTAACCAGGTGGGGAAAAAGGAAACCAAGAGTTTAAAGCCAAGTGTACATGCATCAAAAAACTGATCTGAGATTTCACGCATCTGAAATCAGTGGAGAAAATTCAAAATGAAAACCAGCCCAAAGAGAGTTTCAGGAAGTTTTCAATTTTGTAATGAATATTTATAGAAAGGAGGTGGCTAAATGACTGATTTGCTTTAGGTGGAATTGTGTGTAGCTAGCTGTCCCTTTAACAGGCATGGAAGACCATAGGTTTGTGAGGTGTTGAGGCTCCCACATTTTCTAGACAATCAGCTCACAGATGGCAGCAAGGTTTTCAGCCTTATATTTCTTTTTTTCTTGGCACTACAGCCCCAGTGGGTGTAGGCCTACCTCCATGAATTTTTCGTTCACTTCAGTTTTTCTAGATCTTACACATTTGGTAGGACTCCTTGGGTGGGTGATCAGCTCGTTGCAAGGCCTCTACCTGTACACAAACAGAAAAACGCACACACATCGATGCCCTGAGTGGGATTCGAACCCAGGATCCCAGCTTCCGAGCGAGCGAAGACAGTGCATGCCTTAGACCGCTTGGCTACCATGACCAGCGTCAGCCTTACATGCCAGCCACAATTTACCCCCAGGAAGATTCCTGGTACTCAGTTCTGTTATAGCTGGCGTTGACCCCAGGGCCATAGTGCAGCTGGAAAGATTAGGTAAATTGGAAAAAATCCAATGACCTTATCAGGAATTGAAGCTGTGACCTTCTAGCTTGCAGCACAGTGCCTCAAGCAACTATGCTACTGCATGCCCCTGACATTGTATGTGATATCTGAAAAATTATAAAGAGAAAAACGGAAAGATTTGGGTGTGGAGTTGGCTACACTGAATGTATATTAACAACACTGAGACTGAAAGTCTCTCCAATAAGAAGGCAGGCATTATTAGTTCTGTCAGGAATGCCTTATTGTTTTGACAGTTCCTGTCAGTTGTTTGCAACAAACAAACTTCGGCCTCACAGATAAAAGTAATGTAGGCCCTGTTCTCTTAAGCATTATGCCAAGAAGATATATGGGGAAGGGAAGCTATGGCTCCAAACATTCTCAGCCATGACACCAAACTGAGGTGACTGGTGAGCTTCACACTTCATTCTGAATACTGTGGAGAAGAGAAGAATCCCTTGTCCCTTTTTGAGAATGCAATCCTAATTCCTCGGTCATTCAACCCATAGCCTAATCAATATGGCGATTGAACTGTGAAAAAAAATATTGTTACTTTCATCCCTCAGGAGCCATCTTTGAGAAACTGAACTGTAAGCAGGCTGCCGATTGTCACCATCTGAATTTTTCATAACTCCTGACTGTTGAAAATTTAACATTGCTGGGTTATGTAATCTCAGCTGAGGAGTAATTTATCTTGATCATGATCACATTTTGAGACTATACGAGTATATATAGAGAGAGAAACAAGATGGTCATTGTGGCAAGAAACTGAAATATCAACCAGTTTCTTGACTTCTATGAACATGGCTTTATGGTCAGTCACCACATCTATTAGAATGGGGAGCAGGAGCTGTTATATGAACCTTGGATCCTTGTAAGATGGATGTGGCTGACAAATTACTTCTTATGCCCCTGTGCATAACCTGTATCTGCAAATGTTAACTGTGAGTGATTATGATACTTCTTTGACTTCAATGTCACATAAAGCATGATTTTTGCACTGTAACATGAATATTTTCAGTAGACATCCTAGTAATACACATAATAAGATGAGTAGGCTATTTTCTGTACTGTACCATCAGAGGAAGATATGGGACTGGTTCTTGGGAAACCTGCTGCCATTTTACAAGTCAGAAAATCAGGAAAAATGGGAACAACTGCACTGTAAAATTTAGTTGATGAATTGAGCAAACTTACAAAACAAGCACTTGTTCCTCTGTCCTTTCTGCACTGAGCATCAAGGGTTAGTAATTTGCCTGGAAGAACACGGGGCAGAGATTCGTCTTCATGAGGCGAGTTGTATAGGCATGTTGCTGTATCACCACTGAAACAAAATAAACAGTGTGTTGAATTTGAGGTTCTCACAGCAGTGGTTATGAAGAATTCAATCTTCTGTATCATAATACCAAGTAGTCTGGTGAAAGTAGAGCTTATACTCTGTTTCATACTGGTTTCTTTCTTGTCCTATCCTTTGACCCTGAAGATGAAGGCAACATTTTCCTCTGAAACGTCAGTTGACTTTCTCTGCTCGATATGGCGTTATATTCCAGAAGATAGAATTCTTCAAGATTATTGTAGTAATTTTACCCTTAAACTGCTGAGTAAGAATTTTTCCATACATCATATATAAATGCTGTTCATGAAATACAGAGAGCACAAACTCTATAATATGAAGACTCTTAAAGGGATAAATGTAAGGGTGATAACTGCTGTCTGAAGTGATGAAGTTCACAAAACAGCATAGAATCCAGATTATTTTTGTAAAAGTAATTAATTTATTGTAAATGTATAACATGTTTGCATTATGTATATATAACAAAATGCTCTATCTCACATAATATATCTGATATGATATGAATTTTGATCCAAATGTGCTCATTACAAGTTAATAAATATAGAAATCAGCGATATTGTGTGGGATTACAGGACTCTCTTAAAATGGTTGGTCTACAGTTAGGACTTCCTGTGTCGTCTCTAAGGATGAACAAATGCACTATGAACAAATGCTTATCAAATGTTAAAACAAATGCCTTCTACATGTTCCTTGTTCTGTGTGTGGTAGAACTCATTTTTTTTATTTCTCAAAGTACTATTTAGTTTATACACAATATATATGCATGATTTACGCATGTCCAAAATATCAGTAGTTGCAAATTCCGTGTTTTACATAAAATTAACAAAAATGCACAAAGAACTTAAGAAAACTGTTCAATAACACATTTTATTTTTACTATGAACCAAAGGTCTAACCAAAACAAGAATGGGTAAATTTGTTTCCGTTACTAAACACTAGACAACTGAGACAGAAAGAGGTGAATGGTCTGTCAGCTTCATGTTCTAACAACTTTATCTCTGGCGAGATACACCCCAGTTTCCAGTGAAAGAAAGCTGATTTGAGCCTGCCCACTTTGATTGAGGTCCGTCATGTGGTGGAATTATCCAAAGGATTCCAAACTTAAGTTTAACGATGACTAGGCTCCACAGCTTTCCTATGCATGGGAAACTCTGCATTGTCTAAGGAGAACGATTCATTCTTCTATACGTACTTCAGAAAATGATGAAAAGATGCTACACTACAAGGTGACCACCTGAACCCTTTCTCTGTGTGACGGAGATCACTCATGATATAACCATCTTCCCATCGGCATTTCTCTGCTCCAGGTCCTCCCAAGTAACTTGGAGGAGGGGAGCCATCATGGACAGCCCCCAACCTTTCAAACATCAGTACATAAGAAACATTAACAGGACATATCATGGATTTCAGTGACTTTTTATTAAAAAATACAGAACTCAAATTTACTTCAAACATAAACATTTTTACAAATGAATCTATAAGTTAGAGATTTCCACACAAGTAGTGAATTACTTCATCTAGTAAAAGTATATGATCTGTTATCATAAATATTTCCATCCTTGAGCTCTAGGAGGAGTACACATTTTAAATTCTGATGAAGCTACTACTTAGCAGATTGTGTACTATATGTTGCAGCAATGAAAATACTGTTGTTCAATTGTTCAATTTATTTACATTCCATAAATCCAGATACAGATAGACACTATAGGATATGGAGCAAGTCAAATACAATATAAATACAATGACTTCTGTACAATAACAGTCTAGTTGAAAAAATAATAAGATTACAAATTACATAATTATAAGTTACGAGTATATAAATATAAGTTGTATTTTTTGTTCACATTTGTATGTTGTGATGGGAATGTTTAGACTACATTAGGTATACCCTGTATATCTGAAGCTAGGGCTTGAGGTGGGGCGGGATGCGGCAGGATGGCATCCCGGTTCTTTTCTAAATGGCTTAAAAGCATCCCGTTACTTCTTTGGCAGTAAATGCATTGTACAATTATGTCTATGAATTAAAAGGGGAAAACCATCCTGGTTCTATTTTCATTCCACCTCAAGCACTGTCTGAAGCATAATGATAATGTTCAAGTGTATGCTAGTTATTGATAACTTACTGTATCCTAAATATAATAATGAACTTGTGGGATTTAAGGTTTTCTTGGCAGTGACTTTCTTCTGAGACATGACACCATGTAGTCATACTGATATTTCAGAGGAATACACTGCTTTCATATCCATGGCCAAAGAGTAAATCGAGCAAGCAGGCAGAGTAAGATGAGTGTACTTCTAGTGGCATGCTCAGACCTCCTGCACTCTCCGACATCCATTCCAACTTTTCCATGCTCATCTTACTGTGCTTACTGGTTCCTTAATTAGCTTGCTCTTCACCGTGAAGATGGAAACAGTGTGTTCCTTCGAAACATTAATAAACTTCTATCAGACTACATGGCACCACATCCTATAAATTACTACCCTTCAATATCAAGCAGAGCATTGAATGTGTTTGTCCCTTATGAAGTATGTTGAACTTGGCATTGTTTGTTTGTTCTCCACAAAAATTGTTAAGTGTGCCACTAACTGTTATTAACTTACAAGTGTCCTACTTCATGAGCTCCAACAATGATTCCTGAGAAACCACCAGTGTCCTCAATGATGGCAACACTGTTGACTTTTTCCAGCCTTTTGTTGACAACACATGCACCACCAACATATGCAAAACCTGGTGAAAGAAATTAAGAACCTATATATATATATATTGTCAGAAAATGATTATTTAAATCTATAAAATTATATATAAGAATTCATAACATTTCTTTTAAATAACTGGACCATATTTAACTTTGTCTCCTAACTATGTCAATACCTGTCCTGGGACAATCCTGATACAGCTCATTCCATTTAACACCTCCACAATCTGTTTTCCTAGGACACATTTTAATTTTGTTCTCACATAAATAATTAACTACATCATTCATACAGCAATGTCTTTGATTAAATGATTGTTTCACAGCTGGTCAGGAAATTCCCCACCTTTTATACAACCCTGTGTTTTACAATCTGTTGCACAAAATATTTAGCACTTTTTCTAAACAAATTCAAGAGAATGATTTAATTTGAAAAATTATTATTAAATACCACATTAATTAATGCTTGAGTTTATGCCATATTTGATTCTAAAGTAAAATTATCATTTTTTTGGTTTATTTTTCTAGATATTCATGCATAGTGAAACATTATTTAGACGATTTATGAGATGTTAATTATTTTATGTTTCATGCATTTGTATGAGAAAATAACTCAATTCACTAATTTAATATATTATATTTAAGCATCCTGTTGCACTATACACTTCTATATGTAATAATACAAATGCCATCGTGAATGCAACAATTTATTTGGTTGTAGATCTTTGTCTTTTCTTCCTCTACACTACATGTTTCGGCCATAATTGGCCATCATCAGGTGTATTTTTCACTACATAGCTGTCACACTGCACACAATCCAAAATCTAAAACATAAGCCTGTCAGTTTTGTTTTAAAATCTAGACAACACATGCTTGTCAGTTTGATTTTAGAATTACAGTTTAAAATTTAAAATTTCTGCTCTTGTCTACATGTGCTGCAGCGGCTGTTTCTTGTTTTCAGCACCGTTCATGTATTATTCTGTGCAGTCTCCCTGTGTGTGTGTGTCGCTCCTCATCTTTAATACTTCTCTACGCGACAGCTACATAGTGAAAAATACACCTGATGATGGCCAATTACGGCCGAAACACATAGTGTAGAGGAAGAAAAGACAAAGATCTACAACCAAATAAATTGTTGCATTCACAACGGCATTTGTATTATCACTAATTTAAATTTGTAAGCAGGCTTCAGTGTTCCAAGAGAGAGAGAGAGAGATTTGTATAGACAGAATGTGTCTTGCTGCTAAAATGTCAATTGCTGTATGAAAGTTACACTTATTTTTCAATCTTGAATAATAAAGGAAAACATTCTGTTTTAGTAATAAGCAAATGATAATATGCAATCCATAATTATCAGTTATGTAATCAGTACAAAGGTATAATTACTTTTTGTGAAACAAGATGATACATTTTCCTTAGTTAATATTAATTACATCCACATGAGTCAGCATGATATAATCTTCTATTTAAACTTTCTAAACTTTCAATACTTTTCCTACCTTACAGACCAAAATCATACATTTTAATGTCATTTTAGAATTAATATTTTGTATACTGCAGATTTTAATTAAAAAATATATATAATTGTCATTAGTGGATTAATCATTAGTTGCATCACATTTTATGCATGTTATTAAGAACATGAATGTTGGTTATTACTTTCACAGTAAAACTGTGTTGATGAGGTTAAAGTTAGGTTATATGTGAAGAGTTGTTAGCCCACTACCCCTCAGTTATTCATGAAGCAGTATAGTAATTCAGGAATTAATATGTAGCATATTAAGTACTGTGTTTAATGCAGTCATTCAGTCTTACTGCAATGGGTTTTATGTTAGTTATTAGTAACACGCTTAGCCATTTGCATCAATACCATTCTGTTCATATATTTCCAACAGGTTAAGTTATTTGTTTTATGAACAAAAATTACAAAAGCAAACGAGTAGACAGTAGGTTAGCATTTCTAACCAAATAAAATTCGTAGTGATATTTCACTAATATACCTGTTCAGGTTCTTAACTTTGATTAAACTTTCATGTACTAATGATGATCTGTGTTGTGGATAAAGTGAAAGGCTGAAGAGCTACCCCACAAGTCTGAACCCAGACAGCCTTCCTCCTGTCGTCCTCTAAACAACGCTCCTTGGTCACACAAAACACAAAATAAAGAAGGACATAAGGGATTAAGGGTATGGAGATCTAGAGGCACTGGCTGGTTTTCCATTTGAAAGGTCTCAGATTCAAAACCAGCCATATTCAGAACCAACTTTTCCTTGGATGCTTCCTCACCTATGACAAAATCAAAACTGTGCAAATGTGAGGTATACCAGGCCCCTTCCATGGTTTACATTCACTATATTTACCATTATCATTATCTGCACTATCATTCTATCATTAGAAATAAAATAAAAATCTCACCCTGGGGGTGCTTCTATCTAAAATCTGGATACCTATCTTCACCCTCAACAGTTAGGATGATACCAGTAACGTCAAAAATCATATCTGTACATGACTGGATCAACCAGCCTCCAGTGGTTCAGTTACCCCAGGACCTGGGCTCTTTTATAATAAAATAGCTGCATTTAAAACTCATCTTTTCATTCCTTCTGAAATCTGTTTATAAATTATTCACATATTAACCAATGTGAGTTTATCTGTATAGCAACAAATAGAAGAGGACCTATATTAATACATGCATCCAGGCCCCAGACTAGCAAATCTGGCATTGCCTGGATACACCATGCATGACACATTTGACCTCACTGAGTGTGATAAAAAAAATTTTCATTTTTAAGTCAGAAAAAAATGATGAAATCATTTGCGAAACTTCTGAACTAGAAGAATTAAATAACACATGATTTGTTTGTATTCAGTCTTAGCGAATGATAACACACATTAGAAAATTATATTGTTTATGGTGTGTGAGGTTGTGGGTTGTTTTAAAATGCTGTCAGTATTCAAACTCTAGAGTGTCAACCAGTAGAATAATGAATAGGAATAAAAACTTTAATTTCACTTCATTTCATTATGACTTTTTGCTATAACATGCCATGTATGAAAGTGAAATTAGGATGAGATATTCTAAGACAATTATGAAAGTACCAAAATGAAGTCACATGTGTTCACTTGAAATAGATAGAGAAAGATCTGGCTGCACAAACGATTCAACATGTTATACAAATTTCGATGCATGATAAAATGTCTGTTGATCAACTGTTTGGAAGATAACAGAAGAACTGAATATAAATAAAAAATTGTGAGACTGATTTTGAGCAAGGATTTGAATGTTAATAAGTCTGCACCAATATGATACCAGTAATATCTCAGTGGTGAGCAAAAATGAGTAGGAAAGAAATTTCCTCAGACTTTCAGTGAGACTGTTATGAGAGCATGATCTTTTTAAAGCAGAAAATATAATGGCTAATGAAGAGACTTGCATCTTACATCAGGAAACTGAAATAAAATACCTAAGACTTAAGAAAGAGCGAATGTCAAAATTTAAAGTTAAAACCATGCTGATCTGCTACTTTTATGTCAATGGAATTTTTATTACACATTTGGTTCTTCCAAAACAAACAGTCAATTAACTTAAAGCTTCCTCAACAGTTTTGTTTGGATCATTCATCAAAAGGAACAATATGTGTGGCTTGGCGAGTGAATTTTACATGACAGTGTGTCTTCCCACACAACATAGGAGCGTTAACCGGTATAACCCGACATTCAGTTTCTTTCCATGTCATCCCAGATATTTCAGAGAAGAGGCTGGGGGTTTCAAGGGCTTCAGCATTGCATTTTAATCATGTTATTTAATCAGTTGAACCTATTATAACACCTGTAAATGTAGTACTGTTTTTAACAATAAGTTATAAGTGACATTCTTGTGGATATTAATGTTTATTGAGATTTTGCAGGACTGCTCACATGGTGTTACTAATGGTCACTCTGTATATACAAGATTGATTTATTTCATTTTCTTGCTTTCTGATCCTAGTAGATTATCAAAGAAGAGGAACAAATGTTATATTGTGATTGATGCAAATGACAATCAGAGCATTCTTGTGCCACATACAAGCTGGTAGTATTATCACATAGACATATTCAGAGGTTTACCACACTGGTCATATCCGACTCCTATTTTTTTGTGACATACTTGGATTGCTTTGGAATTTATTGCTTTCTTATTCACTCATTAATTCAATTCTGATTTGGAAGTGACCAAAGTGGAACGACTGATATGATTGAGCAAGCACTGACATTTGTATCCAGCAAATGAAGGAAGCACATCAACCCTTACCTGGGGCTCCAATTCCATTCTTGTTTCAGCATATGGGACAGAGATAACAAGAGAATGAAAATAATGAAATGGCAGCTAAATATGAAGAAACAGATCAGTCAATCTTGTACTTATGTTGATTTCTGTCAGTTTCACTGTCTGCATGATTCTGATACAGTCACTGTAAATTTTCATGTCATAACACATTTTATCTGGTTTGAACAGCTTAATTATGAAACTGAATGGTGGATGATCTGTAGGTGAGCAAGAATTATTGCCAATTATAATTCTTCCTATTTGATACATTTAGAGAGTAACAACACAATAGCAATTATTTTCATAGCTGTTCAATTACTTTACTCCTTCATGTGCCTGACTTTTCTGTTACTTCTGAAAAATCACTGTGTTAATAGCACTGCATGAAGGTGATAGCTGCAGAAAGAATAACTAACATAGACTCGTTCATTGCAGACTAAAACTGCAGTAGACTGGAGGACAGTAAAACATATACTGTCTATTTTATGGATAAATGAAGAATAATTTTTGTCAAATTTAGAGTTTAAAGGGTAGCTGTGTCCTTTATATTCATCCATGAATTTTACATGTGTCCTTGACTGGTGTGTCCAAGTAAATATGAGTAATCTTCGAGAATGTACTGTTTTCTCCAATCACCCAGTGAGAACTGCACATCTTAACGTATGTTTGGATGCAGCCCAAAAATAAATTTCTGTTTGTAACTTCAGTGAGCCTAGCTCAATGATGAGGGCAAGCTGCCTCATTCAATATTTCGGTTTTATTTATTATGTTTCTACATAAGGAGTGGAAGAAGTGGGATTTCATTTTTGGAAATCTTTTAAAATTTAAACAAGACTTGTATTTTGTTAGATTCACAAACTACTCATGCTGTTCTCATGAATGTTCCTTTTTCTACAACAGAATCTTTCATAACTAAATTTTGTCAGAAGAAACACTCTAGTTCATGTTATTCCACTCATATTAATGGTGTTTAAAATGGTAAGCTCACCCTTGGACTTGTACACAGCATACTTTTGCTATTAAAATACCAGTCCTTTTCCTTGTATTCTGGAGATAGCTACATTTCATAGAACTAGCTACCTGTAGTTTTGACTATTCTGTTAGTTTTGAGGAAAATAAGTATAAAATCATGTTAAGAAATGAGGATCAGAAAACCTGTGGGTGATATCGCTATTAGACTGGTCTTATGGGTTATAAGAGCAGTAATCACATATAGAAGCATTTTGCTTTATTCATATTGTGTCACTCCATTCTAAATCCAAGATATTTATATTCTGTTTGATGTTTCTTGTGTTACTATGCAGTTATTTCAGTTTCCAGTAATTATTTAACTTATAGATTTAACTCAAAATTTTTCTAAACCTCTCAAATTTTTCATGCAGGAAATTGGTAAACCTGTATTAGAACATCCACTATTCATGATAATTTCAGCGTACGATAATCTTATGAGTAGTAATGAAGTTATGTTATGATTTTCTCAAAAAGTTAAGTTATGTAGAGCTGAAGCAATGTCCAAGCTTTTATGAATATTTTAAGTTAAAGCACAGTAATACATAAGGTAAGTTTTTGAATATGTAGGTTGTTTATTTTTTGAAAGAAGAAAATAGATTCTTGAGTTACAGAAAGTTACAAAAGTCTTTATTTTAGACAAGGTTTATAAAATGTTTTGTAGCATAGATGCTTTAAACTTTATTTATGTGTTTGTTTATTTGGTCAACACATGCCTAAATAATTACAAGGTTTGTACAGAAATAAACGTTTCACAATTACATATGATAGAACAGATTCTTCCTAAAAAATTATTATAATTACTTCCACCAACACTTTCAATATTTCCAGAACATTTCTGTAATCCTTCAGCATGCAGTTCATTCCTTCATTCTTGGAAAGCATATTATAATTTCAGTGTTATTCATCATATTGCGTTGTGACACATTAAAACATGAATTTAAGTCAAAAGAACACCATGGATGACCTTAGTTTTCTGTAATAAACCTTCAAATTATTTATTTTCAGTTGTGATGCACTGTCATGTCTCTGGAGATCATTATTACAGGAAGGTATTATTAGTAAAAATAAACACATTTTGAAGATTTGTAAACTATATAAACATAACTATTTCTTATTAAGTGATATGATTTAATTAGAAGTGAACTTTTGATACACCATTTGATTTCGAGCTTTTAGAATTGTAGGGTATAATTTTATTGTGATAAAATTTGTTATTAATTCTAATGTACCACTATCCTTGCTATGTGAAACCTTAAAGCCTAGCACTAATTTAACATTTCTGTTCCTGTGTGGGCGTTTTGCTGATGGTGTGCAGAATATTAAAATCAAAACATAGCCATCACTCAAATATTTCAAAATTCTTGACAGTATTACACATAGCCAACCTTCAGATCTGTTGTAAAATTACTGTTATTTGTCATATTTTATTGAAAGGAGGGGGTGTGAAGGAAGAGGTTCACACATTCTTATACCCCACTACAAGTTGGAGAAGAGTGGCCCACTTTGTAACCTTCTCGAATGTCATCAGATTGCTGGTAAACTTCAGTTCTTTGGCTGAGTGTGCTGTGGAAGAAAATAAACTTAACACATTCATATTCAGCTAGTAATTCATGTCTACCTATGTAACGCCTTCACTTTTACCAAGAGGATAATTTAGCAACCATATAGAAATACTGATATTTTAATAAAATATTATATCAATGCCTGCATTTGTGGGAGTGACCTACTGTCTGTAACATGAACTCACTGAAAACCACAAGGACTAATAATAAACCTGCAGCAAATCAGAAATCTCTGACAACATTAGTGCATCGAGAGTTACTTCTGAAGTCTCAGAAAAATGAATGTAATGGCTAAAATACTGTAGTGTGTATAGCTGTTACTATGTGATGACCGCGAGATAGGCAAATATACCAGAGACGTTTCTAGGCAACAGCTCAGTAAACACGTTCCGGCAGTAATGAATCAACCTGCAACAATAGAGGTACTCTGGGAAACGGGGTGTTTCTGCGTGGTCCGAGCCAAGGAGTTATCTTGAAGAAAATTGGGATGACCAAGTCAGTTCTGTATGGGAGTCTGTGAAGACAAGACTTGAATGCATGAAGCTATAGAACCTCCACTGTCAGGAACCGTTGCCAGGGAAAGGTTGGTGAAGATACAGCAGGCTAGAAAAGGCTTAATGTTCGCTGTGTTGTTTTGTAGATTAGCATTGATGCTGTAACTGCTTGTAGTTTTGAATTAATTGTATATATGGTAAATAAATCCATTCATCAATCCAAACTCCAGCTACAGTCACTCATACACGTGATAACAATTTTTCTTCACATTGTCAATGCCAGAAATATGGATACAAACTAAGCTACCATTGTTAAGCACAATAGACCACTGTAGGTCTCGGTGCAAGGGCCGAGAAGGCCTACCCCTCATACATTCATTCATTCAAGCTACCACTGTTCCTACAATACAAATTAGAATATCTTAAAAAGTAAAAAATGTTGTAGTGGGTAGAGCCGTTACTGGATAACGACATTGAAATAAACAACTAAAAACGTTTGCAGTTAGGCAACAAATTATTAATAAAAAAGTACAAGTATATGCAGTGGTTACTGGGTAACACCTTCGCAAACAAACACGTTCAAACAGAAACGATTGTAATACAACAATTAGTGGTGTTTTCTATGCAGTCCAAGCCGAGATGTTTTAGCTGAGATCAGTTTAGAAGTTAATCAGTTGTAAGGGAACCTGTGAAGAGAAGACTTTTTCGGTGCAGTTGAAGAATCCCCAATGTTAAAGGCTGTTACCAGGGAAAGACTAGTGGAGACTGCAGCAGACTGAAAAGACTTTGCATGTCCTATAGTGATTTGTAAAATATGGAAATTAACGATAGTGTTATAGTGATTTGTAGTTACATCCTTTAAGTGGTCAGTAAATCCAATCTCCAATCAAAACCCTACTGAGAGTCACTCTATCATGTGACAATATTCTACATTAATATTGTGGTTTTATGGACTATAACATCATGCAATGTGATAGGCAGTCACCAGCATTTTATAAGTACCTTCTGTGGCCACATTCCTTCCAAAATTACTGCAGCAGCCAACAAAACTACATTGAGCCATAACCTAGAAGAACTAAATCTAAATTTTGACCGCTGTTAATACCTCAAATCTGACATTTTCTAAATAGTTGTGCCACCTCTTCTTGCATGAATAGAAAACTGGCCAGTAAGGCAGGCCAAGCAGAATCTATATCATATACTGAATTGCTTCACTGGGAAAGGAAGGATTAATAAAGTGTGAAATGAAAACTAAACCAGTTTAATGATCTCAGAGAATTGACAGTCACATCAGTGGCTCTGTGTTGACCATAGTCTCAGTCAAGTTTCTGAAGCTCATGTAAACAAGCCTACCTGCAGTGCCTCTGTTGCATACGTCATTAGCATACTGTCTCCTGCACATGTCTAATCTGTAATAATAATAAAAGCAAGCATAATATAATGTTTACTTGCACTCTGAGGCTTGCAACATGTTTCTCTGTATGAAACAGAACAATTCTTGAGGATGCACATTCAAACAACCCAGACTTACAGCAGCAGTAGCAGCACACTGAGGTGAAGATTGCTGGAATTCATCAATGTTGAACAGGTCTGAGCAAGATGACACTGAAATCTGTAACTGTGGGAGGTGTTTATTTTTCCTCAATAGAGTAAGTATATACTGTCAAAAATATAAATTACTCTTACCCACTGTTGTATTACAAAACCGAGCATGTTAAAATAAAATGGATTTTTCTGTGCAATAAAGTATCAGTAAAAAAAGGAATTTTCTGTCATAAAAATCTTTTGGTTCATGCTCTTGAATGGTTTTACACATACTATTTTTGCAGTTTATTTTACAGTGCTGTGCATATTGTAGCCGTACTTCCCTTACTTAAAATTGTTTGACACCGACTATGAAAATTCCAATTATTAATTCTACGCGAATGACATACGTGTCTGAATTGAGGTGCCATCCCGTGACCATATAATTGTTATTCCTTTGAATCCTCCTTAGGCTTGTGGCGACAATGGTGATCATGGAGGCAGAATCATACAGTGCACTTGAGCCTGGTATCTTCTCCATGGCGCCACCATTGTCGTTTAAATGTTATCTTCTGTTTTGGAAGGGAGGCATTTGGGGAAATCAGTCCTTGCTTTTATTTTGAGTTTCCCAGGAGGAATGTCACCCCAACTGCGTTTGGTCCCTTAATGTGCATCTTGTAACGATAAAAGCTGAAATGAAGGTTTGAAGATAACACCTCTCTCCAACAAGCTAAATGCTGGACTGGCGCTCATTATTAGAATCCGGCTGTAACCCTTTCCAAGTGAAGGCCACTTAGGGGTTGTAACTGGGTGCTACCTAAATGTTAGAAAAGGGAGTATGGAAGTCGGGAAAAAGAGAAGGCCAGTCAGTTATAGTGAGTCATGATGTATAGTTAGAGAGGAGTGGTAGAGTAGGGTCAAGGGAGTTGCAGTAGGGAGACGCTGGAAGCGAGTATTATGTGAATAGAAAGTTGAGATGTAAAGTTAGGGAGTCAGTGATAGAAGAGGATGAAGGGAGTTACAGTAGGGAGGCGTTTACAGTGGGTATAAGTGAACAGGAAGAGTCGAGATATAAAGCTAGGGAGTCAGTGGTAGAAGAGGACGAAGGGAGTTACAGTAGGGAGGCGTTTACAGTGGGTATAAGTGAACAGGAAGAGTCGAGATATAAAGCTAGGGAGTCAGTGGTAGAAGAGGACGAAGGGAGTTACAGTAGGGAGGCGTTTACAGTGGGTATAAGTGAACAGGAAGAGTCGAGATATAAAGCTAGGGAGTCAGTGGTAGAAGAGGACGAAGGGAGTTACAGTAGGGAGGCGTTTACAGTGGGTATAATTGAACAGGGAGAGAAAGGGCAATATTGACGGTGGAAGGTTTAAGCAGTGCGATGAAGCTAAAAGGAGAGTTAGAATACACCCACCAACAATGGCTGTACTTATCGTCAAATTAAATGCGTGTAATACACGGAGTGGTGTTCTTGTGATACGGTGTTTGATCACTCCTGAATGTGTTCCCATCCCGGTCTCTGACGCACCGGTTTCCCTGGGAAAAGGACCTCATCTCTGATGCTAGTTCTTATCAATGCTGCTGGCAGGAGCGCGTCATCGGGAGGCTGGCATCTCTGGAAAGGCGGCCAGCCGCAATATCTGGAGTTTACAAGGTTGAACAGAAGGACGTTTCGTGAATAATGAGTTGGAAAGGAAGTAGTTGTGGCCTACCCAGGTATCTCCATCTTACTGGTGCTCTGGCTGAATTTCAAATCCTGCACATCTGAATACAAGTCTGCAGTATTGGTGCTACAACTGTGTGCGTGATTTTACATGTTCTGACGATGCTGAAATAAAAAAAAAAACTGCAATGTAGTCCTATAATATTGCAACGTGGATGGCCAGAACGTTTCTTGGCAACGACATGGAAGAAACCTTCAGTCGCGCAAGCGAACTCAACAATAGGATGAATGCTTATATTTCGTTGCTAGGCAATAATCAGCACGCCAATCGACTAGCGAGGTAACTATCACATAATTGGCTTTCTATGGAGTCTGTGTCATGAACGTTCGAGTATTGTAAACAGAATATTGGAGTTTCAGCACACCAGCATTAAAGTGAGCTTTTGATGTAGAAAATTCCAATGTACTTTCAATTAAATAGGTTTTCTATTTTATTAAATACTTCCAAACGTGTTTCTCAGTTATTTTATTATTATTACGAGTACATTTCCTTTTCCCTTGATATTTTGTTAGGTGTGTGTTTAGCCTATGTCATACGGAAAAATGCTAACATAAACTCAAATTAATTTCATGAGATGAAACTAGGACCATAAATTAAATTTTAAAATTTCAAATTTCAACATTATATAATTTTATGCAACAGTAGCAGAGAAATTGGGAAGAAACAACTGAGAGAATTACGTGTCATGGAATATGGAGGAGGAAAGGAGGAAGGGAAAATGTGACAGGTAGAAGTCTTCAGAAGATATCATTAGAAAATGTATTTTTCAATACCTGTCACAGAATGAGTAGACCTGTGATAATATAACATTAATTAAGAGAGATTAAGCACAATAGACCATTGAAGGTCGCAGTGCTAGGTGCAGTTTTATGGCTCACCCCTCATACTCATACCTGCCTTGTAAATTTTTCCACATTTTCCTTATTAAACAAATACAATAAAAAAGGCTACAGAATTCATTTAGCAGCAGATCCCAAATGCTCCCTTCGATTAAGGTGTCAGTAGTATTTCATATAGGTTAAATTTAGTTAAATTCTTTGGTTTATTATGAAAATAAATGAAATAGGATATTTTCCTCTATTTCTTAATTGCATGATCTGAGGTTCCCTTGGAGGAGTACTACAGCATTATAGCTCCACTTCTGTTTGAAAATGAGATGCACTTTTTTGATTCTCTGTACTGTGTTGTATTATCTCCAAATACTTCAAAAAATTACCTTACTTGCAAGTGTAAGATTTCAGAATGTTGTTTTGTTCTAAGTCACATTTAAACTGCAACTTCAAACCCAGTTTCCCAAAACTTAATGTTGGACATAGTACACTCCAGTACTCAGAAGACAAATTATACTGCATCAGTAAAGACTCTTCTCAGTTCTGCTCAACACTGATGAATGAACTTAATTATATATTATTATAAAATCTAGAAAATTAGACAAAATTCGCTGTGTGTATACCAGATTGCAAGCAATATATCTTTCTACTAACTACAGTTATATTGATTATATGAGCCTCTTCTGGTGTTGTAAGGCTGACTCCAGCTAATGATACATGATTATGAGCATAATCAACACTATTACTAGCCACAACCATGATGTACATGTAATATTAATTTCCCATCACCACCGCGAATTCTCCTGTAAGTAATGGGAGATGGATTTTATACATTTGGGCAACTATGTACATAAGCTTCACAGATGATCATGACTGCACATACCGGCCGTTCCCTTGGTACAACGGCCGCCTTTTCTACGTCGACACATGTCATACCTAAACAGCAAGCAAACTTTACTGTAATTCAGACCCTACAAAAAGAAGTATGTATAGTATTTAGAATTGTGTGTGTAAGTATTGTTAAAATGCAAACTCATTTCTTATGTTTTCTGAAACTAAATGTGTTAATGTTGCGGTTTAATGTCCTGAAATGCAATATTTTTTGGTGAAACTTTAAACTTGTTTTGCAGTATTAAATTACTCTCACTTCTGTTTAAATGTGTATAACAAAAATTATGGTAATATAATACTGCAAAAATTTTACCACGATTTCTCTTCTCTGTAGAAGAAGAGATATTATGAATGTGATTCAAATATTTCATCCAGACAAATCACATGTAAAACATGCTGACTGAGCACATTTCTAAAAATTTGTGATATTAATATAGTATCATCATGGGAGAATTTTCCATGGATGCTGTCCATTGTCTGGATAAAAACACCTACACAATATCACAGAGGCTGACTCTGCATCTGTTTTCAGGCAGAAGGAAAAGTTCTGCAGTATCTGTAGCCTGTTCCTTAAAGCTAAGTCTTGTCGGCAGGTCAAGTGAAAGTAAGAGCTGTCCTCTGAAAGGTCACATATACCTGTATCTCTTTTATCCAGACATTGAATAACTTATTCCATAACAAATTAAGTACTACATAATTTGCTGAAAATCAAGTGGTATTGTGTTACTTATAGAACGATTTTTAATATTGTGGAATAATATAAAGTAACAACTACATTTCAATAAATTTACATTTATTACTAAAATAATGAAATACCTTTCACAGTGGTATTAAGTAGCAGCACAGAAATAGTTACAGAGATCTAGGAATGAGCAGTGGCAAGGTGTTATTACTGAAAAAAGTTAAACTCAGACATCATAAATTCGAGCACAAGTAAAGTCATCCCATCATGAAGCCACATAGTAAGCATGGAGATAAATCCCTTCACACTCATAGCCCATGTTCTAGGTGCAAGTGGACAGCTTCACGCTCCATCTAACTCTGCCTCCAACAGAAATCTTTCCCAGTACCCACTGAATAAGAGGCTCGGTGAATTTCAGAGCTGTTTTGAGCATGGTGATGAAAAATATCCCAGTGTCCCTGCCAGAAATCAAATCTTATTCATTACACAGTCACTGTAATGACTGAGCTATTGGAGTGTTGCACTGAAATATGAAATCTGTTGCTATTTCATTATTTTAAATAATTTGGTTTTCTTAATGAGGTCTTAGTCAAATTGTTATTAAATATAGATCACCTATAAGTTTTATCAGGCAACCTTTGTGGCATAGATGTGAGAAAGTTTTGGTTCTAGTTTCCTAACACACAATTTTTAATGGCATTTCATCTCTCTCAGTCAGATATTGCATTACAATAAAAATAATAAAGCACTCTCTTTCGCATAGTCATTTGTAACTGAAGGAGCTTCTCTATGTTGCAGTGTTGATTTATGTAGTTTTGTCTTATGGTGGAACACAGCGATAAATTTAACTGGCTATCTTTCCATAAAAATACTAAAATTCTCTCTGTTGCCAGAGCATTAAGAAATTGCTCATTCATTGTGTGGATGTGCTTGTGAAATTTGCATCTCAAATTCCTTTTCTGATATTCAAAAAGTGTATTTCTTTTTACCGAAAATCTTGAAGAAATTACTGTACCATTCCTTATCACATCTGAGGATTAACACCTTACTTTCTAGATACAATTGTGGAAAGATGTACACCAATTTGTAGTTCTTCCAGAAACGTTCTCTGCAGTTCAGCACGCTTCATGGGTCTTGATGCACACAGAAATCCACTGTTTTAAGGTAGTTAGGCAGAATGAAATCTGACTAGGTATTGCATCGAATATAAACATAGAATAATGCTCGTTTTTTATTTTAATAATATGTATAGTTTATGTTGTGTACCTCTTGTACCGTACACGAACCAGTCTTTAAAATACCGGTAACGATAATGTTCAGTATGAGCCCCATGTAATAGGAGATTATGCTGAACAAACGTGAACAAAAAATTCAGTTCATGTGATAAATTTTGGTGCAGAATGATTACTGAATTTCATGGAAATTCACTTCATAGTTTCGAAACTGAAACATGGACACTGATCTCCCCATTACATGTACGAATACATATCATTCACTGTGTACAAAGACTCCATACAAAGCGCTAGGTAACAGCATTCGTGCTTATCAGACATCATTCACACATTCATATTATAACACAATGGATATGAAACATAATATAGCACAAATTCTTACAACATGACACTTTCATACTGCCTTGTACTCATAAGTAGTAGCAAAATAATATTAGACAACCATTCAACCGCTGTGTTGTAAAAGAAATGTATATACTTAAAGGAGCAGTTAGTTGTCAAATAAGTGTCTGGAAAAATACAACTCTGTCTCTTATCTTTTAAATGTCTTTATTATTTAGGGAATGTAGAAGTGCAATTGCTTCTATAGTCACCTTGCCAGTCTTTCTGAATTTCTAAATTAATACCAATACTTACCAAATTTAAACTAACCTGCACAATGTTTGATAAAAATTAATACAGTACAGGTAATTGCATATACGTGTATTACTGTGTCAAAGAATGTAAGTTTTATACATCACCTGGTTGTTTGGGTCTTGTATACTCTACTGCTTTAGTAAGATCTTCTGATCTCCTGAAAGTATACCTGTGAAGAGATTATGATGGTGATGATTTAACAACAGATCTTACTTAGTGACAGCCACAGCAATGTCGTAAACAGGAAGCCTCCTCTCTCGGAACAGGTACTTCCCCATGTCGGTGAGAGCTGCTGCTGAATCAATAGCATCTCGTCCCACTCGATTCCGCTCCAGGTATGGTGTTGCATCACGGCCCTGTACATGTATTTATCAGTAAGAGCAGTTTCTAAGAAATTCCATACCACCTTGTAGAGACACTTCAGTAAGAACAGTGATACATACCCGTGAAATAATAATTCCTGCTATACTGATGCGAATTTTTGGACCTTTCAGTAATTTGTACCTCAGGTCAACTCCATTCCAAAATGAGACAAAATATCTCTTGATTTGTACATTATCTCCTCCATGTAGTCTGTAAATTAATATTTTCAGTTTTAGAATCAGCAGTGATACTGGGACAATATCATGCCATGAAAGGAATGTCTTATTTCAGTTACTTGAGTCCCTGCACTAAAATAACTGCGAACCTTTCTCAACATTCATGACTGTTTATATTACAGATCAATATTAAAATCACATGGTTGGTGCAGTCCATTTTAAGGGACAGACCTTGCAAATTTACCGTATAATGATTATAAGGATATCTGTTTTACACATAAGGTTCCCAAATAACAATCCTATAGAACAAATCACATATCCAAAGGAGTGTTCCCATATCTTTAATAAGCAAGAACTACGCTTTCCACTTTTAGAGTTTCATGAGATCTTCATAACAAGAATACAATCCTCTTTACACTGTGCTGAAACCCTTATTAAATATAAAACAAATGGGCAGCAAAACATTCTGTTTGTGTTACTATTAGGTATATGTGTAATACTCGTATATCACCACATAAATTTAGCGCATTAAATTGCAGTGCTTCATCAGTTTTTTTTAATGTTAGTGGGATGGAACTAAGTCCCTTGTACTGCAGCCACTTCTGGCCTGTTGTACCAGCCCCAGCTGATAGGTGAAGGTGATTGTGGAGCAATTGGTGGAATGAAGATTGGCAGGGGAAACCGTAGTACTCAGAGAAAACCCACCCCAGCGCCACTTTGTCCACCACAAATCTCACTTGACCAGACCCGGAAGCGAACCCGGGCTGCCACGGTGGGAAGCCAGCGACTAACTGCTTGAGTTATGGCGCTGCCTGATTCATCAGTTACAGTCAACAGATTGAAACATGCAGTGCATCTGCCATAGTGTCATTTCTTCACTTTCCATGAGTATTAATAGCTCTATATTCAGAACCACGGCATTGCAGACTAAAACTGCCAGTGATGTGCTGTACACACTATCTCTTATAATCTGTCAGGTAGTGTCTACAGTATCAGTGCTTATAGGTGGATTCGAAGGATTGCACCTCTTGCTACTTAGGTCCCAAGAGGAGAATTCTGTTCCTTCAGAGCTGTGAAAGGGCTGTGAACAGTTGTATGTGTTCTGTGTTCATGAAATACATGGAGATGCATTCTTTATCAGTTTTACTACTACGTAGTAAAGAATAGCAGTGGCATGCACACAGGGAGACTACACAAAGTAACACCTGTGCAGTGCTGGAAACAAGAACTAGCCGCTGCAGCACTATAGACATAGGACGAGTAACCCTGACAATTTTAAATTTAAAATTTTAAAGGATTTTAAAATTAGAACTAAAGATTTTATAAGTGCTAACGTGTGTAACAAAATTAATCTATAAACCAGACAGATATCAACAAAGTAGATGTTGATAATAACAACAAAAGGAACAATGTGTTTTTAAATGTTAAATTTTAAACTAAGTGCAGTGTAACAGCAACGTGAGTGTATACACCTGATGATGGCCGTTTGAGGCCGAAACATATAGTGTAAAGGAGCGCAAGATCAAGGACATACAATATATTGTTCGCACTTGGGACAGAGTTCATATCATTTATCGTATATATTGTGGTATATAATATGTAGTAAACCTGGACTCTGATAGTGAGAATACATTATTATAAATCTATAGCATTATAGCTTTCAGTCTGTATTTTGTTATCATTATAAGCAGAGTATTAGAATCATGTAAATATATGTTTACCTGTATCCATCATAGTCCACAATGACTAAAATTTCTGGGTAGATGACGTATGGAGCTTCTCGTTTACTTATTGATCTTTTAAGACGGAATTTCTTGGCTACATGATCTGGTTCCATGAATGCTGAAAGAAGAAAGAAGCAAAAATTAACTTTTTATGTTACCATTTAACACCAAATATGCAAAATAATAATAATAATAATAATAATAATAATAATTCTGTTTGTGTAATAATTATTACTGAAGACAGACACAGCGATTGCTAATGTTTGAATCAAGGTAGCAAGTAATTATCCAATTTATTTGGGATGTAGAGGGGGCTATTCTCGATGTTGGTGGTTCTGTTGTTGTCACAGCAGTATATGTTTTTGGTTGTAGCTGGAGGAGACTACCTTCAGGCATAGAAGGTTGCTATGAACATACTGAATAAGCAGTCATGGACAGCAGACAAGGAGCAGTCCCCCAATTCTGTAGCAGGTTGAGAGGCTAACTCCTCCTCATCGCAAAATAAAAAAAAAAATCTTACGAAATGTTACACAGGATCACAGACTGATGTATTTCATTTTAGAAGTTGCAGGACACTGAACAATTGTATTGGTTATAATCGGAGGTCAAATAAATATTCTCTTTGCATTACAGTCAAGCAAGCTTTGTTTAAAATTTATTTCTGCAAACCCAAAATACTAATATCTAATCATGTTAACTACAAAAATAATATTTGTCTTGTCTGTCCAGATATGATAAATTTAAATTAGAGGATGGCCCCCATTTGAAAAGTCCAATTTACAAACATCCCCAGCTTTGGAGCAAGCAACAATCTGATCATACAAACACTAGTTTTGTACACGAACCAGTGTTTGCTCTTGTGAACTTGCAGAAAAGCATCTACATTATTTTCTTCCTAAAGAAATACCACTTTAAATAGTATGATCCAGACAGTACCAAGAAAATAATAATGAAATATTATTGTTCAGTTTGATTGTTTTCCTCCTTTGTTTCTTTACAGCTTTGGCATGAAATAGAAAGGTCATTGTGGGCTTACTTTGGAACCTGAATATAATTTAAACTTTAGTGTCTTTAGAAATTGAGACTGAATTCTGAACAAAACCTTTCGATAATAACCAATTCATAAACCGGGGACTTCTTGTGAAATATAAGGCTCTCAGAACAGTGAATATGAAGATCACGGTCTTTGGGATATAATATTGCATAGCACGGTAAGAAAGTATCCACATTTCGGAGGAGCCTGCTGCTTGCATCTTTGGGGTAGAAGAAAAAGTCATGTTGGAGCACTAGGAAAGGTATGTAGGGATAGGATGAAAGAAAATGGGATTAAAAGCTGGCAAATGGGAGGCAGTGTCCTCAGAAGTGGATTTTCTTGTTCATCCACCTGATGGGTGTTTAATGATTCTGTATTGACTATGAAGATAACTTGCCATATATATTTTGTGCTGTTTGTCTTCAGGTCATAATTAACTTCAGTATCTGAAATTGAACCACTTGTCTATGTTAATGGGTGCCTGGGACTCTACTCAGTTTCATGCTGCTTTGAACAGTATTTAGAATCTAGATTTAAAATATATTAGTATTGCTTTTAGGGACACTACCGTAGTCACTGGATTCCAGTTCTTCATTGTGGGCACTACTCCGCCTGTAGACTATATGCTGCTGTGGCTTTGTACTTCGTATCCTCCTGAGTGGAAAGCCTGAGTCAACAACGACATCCTCCTGTATGTGCTCCCCATCTTCATCCAGGAACATCTCATCATCGCCATGTTCTGAGTGAAGTGGCTGCTTGTCTAGGTGCTGCTGCACACTGGCCGGCACTGGCTTCACCACCAAGTCATGTCCAATTGTCCCCTCCTGAGGCAGAAATGGAGCTTGCGTTTATGATATTCTGATATGTGATGCCTTGGACTTCGTTGGATATGTACAAGAGTTTTGGAGGTACCTACTGGCCTTGGTTGTTATATCAAAGTATACCATAATCTTAATATTCGACACAACAAGAACATTAAATCCAAAAAAATAAGACTGTTTCTATCACTTTACTAATATCATGGTTTATAAAGCTCATGCGCCTTTGTTAGGGTAATAAAACTGTGGCACTTGTTATGAACGGTCACATAGCTTGAATAGATGAAATGAAAGATGGATAGAGATCTTAATTAGATCGCTTAAGGAGTGAGTACCTGGGAAATGTTTGGGAGTGAGAGAAAAGATTGAAATGAATATTTGGGAAACAGGTTATCAGTATTTGAATGGGTTTAACTTAGTTTAAAGCTTTTTGACAAATTGTTAAAACTATAATTTTGAATTAACAATCAAGTTCCTTCCGTCAAATGTGACACTTTTTTTAAGTTTTCCACCTCGTCACCACCTGCCTTACATATACAAAGCATATACACATAAAAACTTATATAATACAATCTAAATAAAACCACAATTTTTATTTACAGACAACACACGTCAACAACATCCCGAAGCAAAAAGATTGGGCCAAGCGGGAAAGAATTCTAGGGATTTTAAGAATTCTTACTTCAAATAACGAAACATAATTTTACAGAATTAATGACGAACCAAATAAGGAAGCTACTGTGGTGTATGAAAAACTTTTAGTGAACCGACATTCTGGGTAATTTTAACCATTTGTAATTATTTTAATTAACTGGAACGTGGCTATCTTGGACAAAGTGAAGTTTTGTGTGTTGGTGATTTCTTTTTCTACTATAAATGCCTCTGGTGATGGCTCCGTGGTGAGCCGAAACATGTAAGGCAGGTGGTGACGAGGTGGAAAACTTAAAAAAAGTGTCACATTTGACGGAAGGAACTTGATTGTTAATTGGTTAGTGTGACGGACCAGAATGAAAGACCTTAAACTTATAATTTTGAACTTTATATCCATCATCTGAATTTATTAAAACCCCTGTGTTCCAGAAATTGTTTCCATCCTCTTATGACCAGGATATGAAAGAGGCCCTACTTCACTGGGCCGCTGGGTAAAGCTGCTCTATGGCTTGAGAGTTGCTTTGCCAAGCTGCTCATCATTGTAGATTTGTTATCATATCCTGCTCACCAGAAGGCAGATATAGAACAAATTTCCAAAACACAGTGGTTTTAATGGTCTCAGACAATGGATAGATTCCAAAAAATTGTTTTGAAAAAAATATTTAACTTGTGTCTATAACTTTCCATGTGTTCGTTTCCGTCTTCCGTGCCACTTAGACTATAAGTTTTAAAACTAAAACTTCAATTTTTAATTTTTAGAACTCTTTAATTAAATCACTTTATTTGCATCACATTGTGTCTGTAAATTAACCTCATGAGGCCATCCATTAAAGTGCAGGACATACCTGTAATTAGATGACCACAGTGGTCAGCAAGACAACAGTAATGGCTGGAAATGGGGTACCCGTTTCCAAAGACTTTTTCTTTTTTTGAGAAGCTAATGCCATTTGAAACAACAGGCTATGCAGTAACAAATATCCCACGTTAAACGACGCTCATTAATCTGAGAGATGTCACACATCTATTTACTTGTCTGTCTACCTATCTATCTGTACATTATATAACGCTCAGGCGCCTCTTTGGTCTAGTAGTCAGAGTTCATGGCTACAGATCCTACAGAGGTCCCAGGTTCGATTCCGGAACTATTTCAAGGAAATAGCGGCACCGGTCTAGAAAATCGAAATATGCGGCCGTGGGGATTCGTTGCGCTGACCACGCGACACCCTCTATCCGTTAAAGTTGGCACTAACTTCGCCGACAAGCGGCGATCGCTCTGTCGGTATAGTTCCCTTGGGGGCTAAAACCACGGAGATTTTTTTTAATTTTATCATTTCTGTAATGGATATTGTGTTGTTACAGTAGGTAAGAGAACATAAAAATGTGTCATGTATAAACATTACAATGGTAATAATAATATTAATATCTTTACTATGAGAAATGAAAAGTAATATTTTGTAATCCCTCATAATGATTTTTATAACAGTATTATTTACAGGTCTGCAGGCGAAAGGTAGAGAACAAGAAGGTAAAGTATAATAGTTTGTTCTTTGTTAAACATCCCCCAGCCACGAATGGTTAATGAAGAACTAGACAGTTTCCGTGGAACTAACATTAATCAACTTACGTATTTCCAGCCAAAGAGTACAGAAGTTCATCATTCATTGGAGTACTACATTAATTATGGATGTGTTTTCCACATGTTGTAATATTGTAGTTGTACCAAAGAAGATGCCTCCTTCCTCTTAGTAAATGCTGTAGTATGACGAAAGCAACAGCAGTAGGGTTTTCTGTTATTAATGCTTAACAGAATTAGTGCCATTTAAATCCTGTTTTTGGTATGAATAAGTGTGATTCTTGGTAATCCTCTCTTTATAACATCTCTGTATTCTGTTTATATTTGTAAAGTCCGCTCCACAGCTCAAGCGATTAGTCGCTGGCTTCCCACCGCGGCGTCCCGGGTTCGATCCCGGGTCTGGTCAAGTGGGATATGTGGTGGACAAAGTGGCGCTGGGGCAGGTTTTCTCCGAGTACTTAGGTTTCCCCTGACAATCTTCATTCCACCAATTGCTCCACAATCTGGGGCTGGTACAATAGGCCAGAAGCGTCCGCAGTACAAGGGACTTAGTCCCACCCCACTAGCAATAAAAAAATATATATTTGTAAAGGTCACTCATCTATCGCTGATCACAATTACCTCACGGTCGAAGGGATGCACTGTCTTCGCTCGCAAGCTGGGACTGTGGGTTCGAATCCCACTCGGGGCATGGATGTTTAGTGTTTGTATGTATATGTGCATACAGATAGTGGCCTTGCGACGAGCTGATCACCTGCCAAGGCCCAAAATTGGGGCTGTAGAGCCAAAGGAGAAAAAAATACAGAGGTCAAGGTTCATCATGGACTGCATCGCGCAAAGATTGTTGTTGTTGTTATTGTTATTATTATTATTATTATTATTATTATTACGTCTATTATTTCTCATTTCTTCACAGTGGACGAATGGTTGCACTCTAAACGGAAACATGTTTTGGGACCAGGGAAGGGCTGGAGGGGAGTGTGATATTCAATGTGACCGACTGTTCTTATTATTGTTTTCATTAAACAGTAACATCTGAGCAAGGGAACAAGTGAGCTCAACGTATCTGACTCCCAGGTAACAAAGGGAGTTGACAATTAGCGAATAGATGCTAGTAACCATGGTTTTCGAAGAATGTCATTGGGAAATAATATGCCATCTGGAGCTGTTGACAAAAAATTAAGCACCTCTTGTATTGATGTTTTCAGGAAAAAAAAATATTGATTTACAGAAATTGGTGTACCTTGACCAAGCAAGATTGTCAAAGAAGTAGGAGCGAACCAGTTTTGCAAAATAAAGCTAAACTTGGCATTAAAAAATATGATTTCTGAGAAAAACAAGAGTAAGATTCTTCTAAAAATTTTGCAATAAAAAGTTAAAGTTGTCCCTTGTGCTTAACTAATTAAGCACTAGGCCATGAAGGCGTATGGGCAAGTGGATATATGGACCCACATTTGCTTGACCTCGGCTATGACTGGAGGTGAGTGGTCAGCCGAACATACCCTCTGCAATATAGAGAGCTATTAACCAGGCATGTTTGAATTTCCCACCAGCGCATGGCTACCGGAAATAAGTTGCAAATAAAGTCTAGTAACGTTTTAGTGACGATGTAATTGTGCATGTCATGAGTTTGGACGAAATAGGCGTGTTCTCGGGCGGGCCAAGAAATACGTTTTTTAGGATGAGTATAAATGGCTGACCCGTGTGGGAGAACTGCGGGAAGCCCAGGAAGAAATGCTAATGAATAAATAATATCAATAGATAATAAATAAAACGGGATAAAACAGGGAAATAAACTACGACGACGAAGACGGACAGAGAACGCTGCAGAAAGAGAAGAACCTTCAACACTGATGCAGCTAGTTGTAACAATTCCCATTACAATATGTGTTCACCATTCACCGGCTTTTCAGCCGATGCATGAGCGTCTACTTAGTCCCGGAAAGCCACTTTCACTCTCGATAACAATTATATATGTGAACAAAATGTTCCAGGAAGAAGGTGATACACACTCTTCGGTATATGATTCTATTTGCATAAGGACTCTCATACAAGTTATACACAGAGAACTCTCAATTATTAGCGGAGACGGATGGGAGAAATAGTGCATGTAAGTGGAAATAACAAACCAAAACAAACTCCGTGATTTTAGTCCGCAAGCGAACTATACCGACAGAGCGACCGCCGCTTGGCGAAGTTTAGTGCCAAATTTGCGGATAGAGGGTGTTCCGTGGTCAGCGCAACGAATCCCCACGGCAGTTAATTTCGGTTTTCTATACCGTAGCCGCTATTTCCTAGAAATAACTCCTCAATTATCGTCATGAGGCTGAGTGGACCCCGTTCCAGACCAACTACTTCTCAGACAAAAATCTTGTAGCGCCGGGAATCGAACCCGGACCTCTGGATCTGTAGCCAAGAACGCTGACCCCTATACCACAGAGGCGGTTAGTGTAAATGACAACTAAAAAATTTGGAAATACCCCTTATTCAAGCTGAATTTATCCCTAGGAGTTACTTAATTATTACGTATGTGCCGTGCTACTGGTCACTAAACCGCGAGGTGGTAGGTTTGTTCTTTAACAACGCTTCCAGTATCGAGACGATATCAAACTAAACAGTGGGATAAATATCTTCCTAAGAGAAGAAAGCACTGATGGCAGGCTGCTGCCAAGAGCAGCGGAAACGGAAATCTGGAGTAAGATGAGATGTGCTGCCTACCGAAAGTCTTTGTATAACATCACAGATACATATGTCTGAAACATATTTTAATGAGAGAAGCATA